AAGGAGCTGCTGTGCCAGCTCACCTTGCTCCAGGTAGGGGAACCCCCAGGCAGCTGGGAAAACAGGCACTGGGGCTTGAGATTCTTATCATGGAATGACAGAATGGTGTGGGTTGGAAGGGACCTTAAAGCCCAACCCATTCCATCTGTGGGCAGGGACACCTCCCACTGTCCCAGGTGTTCCCAGCCCAGTGTCCAGCCTGGCCTTGGGCACTGCCAGGGATCCAGGGCAGCCACAGCTGCTCTGGGAATCTTTACAAGGATCAGCAGGGTGTTGGGCTTTATGGATGGAAAGTGGGAAGAGCAAAGAGAGAGGGTGACTGTGGTCTGCTCACTCCCTTTTTGGTGTTTTTGTTGGTTTTTAAAATTAAACTACCAAATTTTTGGGTTGGCACTTGCTCTTGGTGTGGCCTATGGCTTTGTCAGCCTACAGTGACAAGGCTTTTGTGGTTCTCATTTTTAATTCTGTTTTCTGAATTGATGTTGCTTTATCCTTGCAAATGTGACTTTTGTAGCACGGAGAGGCTGGGGCAGGACCTGAGCTTGGGGGAAAACCACAAATCCCACCAGTCTCTCCACTGTGCTCTGTGTTACGTGGGCTGTTTGATGTTTTTCCTGCTTTGGGAGGTTGTAAGGATGAGTATCAGTTTAACCTGCTCTGAAGCAGCTGGTGCATCCTTGGGAGAAGGAGCAGGACTCCAGATCTGTGGCAGGGCCGCGTGACACCGCGGAGGTTTTGTTGGCCTATTTTCTCAAAGCCCAGGTTTCGCTCTTGAGCTGTCAGGTCAGATGAGGATTCAGTTCTGCGGCCAAAATAGAAATTAGCCATGTGTGGTAATCCATTAATCCCTGGAAATAATGCCATTTATTCACGTTTTGGGGAGCTGGGCTGTCCTCATGCCGCCTCCTTGGGCTGCGCCAGGAGCGGCCGCGGCGATCCCGGGAGGAGCTGCCCAGAGGTATGCCAGGCTGCCCTGATCCCTGAGCTGCCCTCTTGCCCTGATTCTTAAGATTTTCTAAAGCCTTCTGAGTTTTCATTCTTGTAGAGAACTTTCTCACACAACTTTCTGTAAACCATCTCTTGTTTTGCATTCCTCCACAGGGGTGGAGAAATTTGATGTACTGGTAGTTTGTCCAATGTCATTGGAGAGGTGGCACGTTCACCCTCCAATCCACTGGCACCTTTGGAAAAGTAGAAATGCTGGAGTCTGGAAATAAACTTCCTCTTTTCCATCTTTGCAATAGCAATGGCTCAGTGCTTTCTCTATAGTGACACTGCCCCTGTGCCATTGCAGCACATTGCAGCTGCTCCGACTCCTTGGACAGGGAAGCTGTGGCTGTCCCGTCCCTGGGAGTGTCCAAGGCCAGTTTGGATGGGGTTTGGAGCAGCCTGGGGTGGTGGAAGGTGTCCCAGAGTGATGATAAAGAACAGAAAAAGTCAGTCCGAGGGTTAAACCTGAAGTGCCTGAGCCGTTCAGGAGGGAATCATGGAATTGTTGAGGTTGGAAGAACCTTCCAAAACCATCCAGGCCAAGCTGTGCCTGGTCCCCACCTTGTCCCCAGCCCAGAGCTCTGAGTGCCACCTCCAGGAATTCCTTGGGATGGGCACTCCTGAGCAGCCTTTCTGTGACAGAATTCCTCCTGATGCCCAACCTGAGCCTCCCCTGGCACAGCTGGAGGCCGATCCTCTTGTCCCTTTGGGATTTCCCTGGGAGCAGAGGCTGACCCATGCATATCCAGGGAATAAAGGCTGGATGCAGCAGGATATGAGTCGATAAATTCACTTTTTTTATTATTTTAAAGGCAGCTCCTATTTCTTTTTCCAGGAGGGACAGCAGTTGCCCTACAGCAGAGCTGTGTAATAATAACAATTTGTCTCTCCCTGGATCTTTTCCTTTCCACTTTCATCAACCAGAGGCTTCTTTTGTAGCATGTGGTTGTCCTTCCTTGCTCAGCCGTGCTTTTTCTCCCTGCCTGTGCTCTCAGGAGAGTTGTTACTATTTTTTCCTTCTTGTTTTACCAGACTGTATCATGACTTTGTGCCTTTGTGAGTAAGGAAAATGCTGTGCCTGCAGCAGTAGGTTGTTAGGTTGGTTTTTTTGGGGTTTATTTTTGTTTGTTTTTGTTTTGTTTTGTTTAGGGGTTTTTTTTTGTTTGGTTGGTTTTTTTGGGGGAGGGGGGGTTGGGGTTTTTTGTGGGTTTTTTTTTGTTGTGTTTTTTTTTTGGTGTTTTTTTTTTTTTTTTTTTTTTTTGAAAATGATATTTTTGCAGGCTGGTACGTGAAGGCCATAAATGTAAATATGGAATAAAACTCACGGTGCTTTTGTGGGATTGCAGCTTGGGCACCTCCCCACCCACCTCAGTGGGAAGAGAAGGGACAGGAGGAGGGGAAACAGCCTCAAGCTGTGCCAGGGGAGGTTCAGATTGGAAATAAGGGAAAATTTCTTTGTGGAAAGGTTTGTCCAGCCCTGGCACAGCTGCCCAGGGCAGTGTGGAGTCTCTATCCCTGGAGGGATTTAAAATCCATGTGGATGTGGCACTTGGGGACATGGTGGCCTTGGCAGTGCTGGGAATGGTTGGATTTGATGATCTTTAAGGTCTTTTCCAACCATAATTCCAAGATTTTCTGCATGGTCCTGCTGAGCCCAGTTCTTTACATCCAGCTCAGTTTTCTCAGGGAAACTCCTGAGAAGAAAATCTTCAGGAGCTGGAAATGCAAAAGGCTTTGGCCAAAACCAAAATCTCGGGATTTGCATAATCTTTGTGGCTGTGTTTATTTCTGATAATTTGAGGGACACCACAGCGTGTTCCAGCCACACTTTATCACATCCCAGAGAATATTCTTTTCCTTATCACATCCCAGAGAACAGATTCCAGGGGTCTGGCAGGGAAGTGGCATCTGGAAAACCCTCCTGACAGGGATTTGGAGAGAAGCACTGATGCTCCTTCCGCTTTCTGCTCTCCTGGAAACTTTCCAGCAACTTCAATTATTCTGTGTTTGTTTTGGGGTTTGTTTTTTTGGGGTTGTTTTTTTTTTCTTTTGTTTTGTTTTGTTTTTTTTAAGAACTGGATGTATTTTAAGGATAAGAAAGTGAACTCAGCACTACCTTGGAAAATCAGCCCCTGCCAGGATTGATTACCTGAAATTCTAATGGATTTCAGCAGCCTTTGCTGAGGGTGGAAAGCATCCCAGCATTCAGCACCTCTCCCCTGTTAATTCCACTTTTATTCTGGCTTTATTCCACATTTCCAAATCTTTCCCTTCCCTTCAGTTCCATTAAGTGCTGCCGTGTGAACCAAGTTTCTAATTATAAATATAATACAATTATAAATTGTTAATTTGGGACACTTATATAATGCTCAGAATGATGCAGGCACAGTTTGCAGTGAGGTGTTAAATTAACTGATTAGACAATTAACTGTCTAATCCCAAGAATGGGATTGAGAAAGAATGGGATTGTAAAGCCCCAAGAATGGGATTAGATTGTAAGACATTTAGGCTACTTAAATTAGAAATAGTAGTAAAAGGAATTGAGGGAGTAAATTAGTAGGAAGCTGGATTGGGAAAAAAAATTATAAAAAAAACCAAGAAAATAAAGTTTGATGCTAATAATACTTTTTATTATTCTTTTTTTCACTCTTTGTATTAGAGAAAAAAAACACTGAGTTTCCCAGCTGTGCATCCAAGGAATAGCAGCTGTGTGCTGAGTTTGAATTTACTCCTGGGTGTAAACCTGGGAGCAAACACGGTCCTGGTGTGGAGCAGGCATTGGAGAGGTGGGAATGACTGGGAATATTTCACTGCTGAGTAACAGCTGTGAGAGCGCTGCAAAGGTGGTGTGAAAGTTGTTGTCACGGCAGATTTTTCTATATTTGAGCTTATCCAGGGATTCTTTCTGGTGGATTATCCCACTTTACATGGAAAGGCAGGATTTTCTCATGGTTATTCTAATGACTGCCAAATTCCTGGGTTTTTTAGTGTGTTGTTAGGCAGTGTAATACCCTGTGGAAATTGTGCTGTTAAATTCAGTGTATTGCCCTGAACTGGGAGCTCTGGTGAGCAGGGATAGAATTTTAACAGTGGCTGCAGAGCCACCATCTGGATAAATCCAGCCACAAAGCAAAGGTTGGGTGAAATTGTTTCTAAATCAAGCAGGACTGGTTAATGGCTGAGATGGGAGCCTCACCTAATTAATCTGTTCATTAGAGATTGGATAAATCACAACAAATTAATAACAACGTTCATTTTCCACCTCTATTTAGAGGGACTGGAGTACTTCTGGACCTGTTTATTTGTCTGCATCTGTGAGTTTCCCTGAATTAAGGAACAGCATATTCTCATCACACTTTTCCTCCAATTTTCTTCACGCTGGAAATTATTTTCTGGTCTCACCAATGCTGAAATTCTGTGTTTAGAAAGCAGAATCAGCCTTGGCAAACATTCCCCCATGGAATTCATCCATGGAGCCCCTCACTGTGGCTGAGGGAGCTGAGTGGGATAAGGAAACTCTGGAAGTGTGTGTTAAAGGGATTCAGAACTTTCTGCTGTTACTGGGCTGCTTGGTGGTAAAAAAAAACTTCTCTTTGTTATGAATTTTGCTTTTTTCTCTGGGAATGACTCCCAGGATTGTTTCCTCAGTGTTCTCATCATATGTGGGTTGTTTTTTTTTATATGGAAGTAGCATTTTTGCCCTGATTTCTGGTGTTGTCTATGAACCGTGGCTGAGTGTTGCCATTCTGTTGCTAGATTTAAAATCTCCTTAACGAATTTTTGGTGTGCAAAAGTGGTATTTTCTTTTTCTTTTTGCATCAAAACTGAACATCCAGTGCTAAAGTGATGGGAGAGTATAAAACAGGGTTTAAATAAATTTAAATTTCAAGCAAACGTTGCTTTTACTTTTAGCTTCCTTCTGCCACGAGGTGAAAAAAAAAAAAAAAAAAAAACCAAAACATGATATCACTTTGACCTGAAAACTTATCTTCTGCTTTGCTTCCTTTCAGGTCCAGGATGGAACATTCCTGCTCGCTCCTGCTGCTCTGTGTTAGTTTAATTTTTGCACAAGCTTTGCCACCCAATGGAACGGAGCTGCCCAAAACCACCACAACAACCAGTAAGGAGCGATCTCTGGGCTGGGATGGGCATGGACCTCAGGGGGTTCCCTGCTGGCACAGTCCAGGAGGTTCTGGCAGGACTTTGATGCCACTGACACACATCTGGGTGTGCCAGGTGCCCTCTAGGTTTGGTCTGCACGTGGGTGCTGCTGGGGTTTCGCTTTCTCTTTGCCATGGAAGGGAAAAACACGGCCGAGGTGGAGGAGCTGCAGGGCCCAGGAGCTGCCACGGGGATGTGGGCACAGGTAACAGGAGATAAAGTTTCAGGGTGAATAGATTGGAGCACCGTGAGGAGCCTTGACATGAGTTCTGTGTTTTCCTGCAAAGCCTGGAGGAGGGTGTGAGGTGTCCTGTGGAAGGTCCTGGCAGGTGAGAAACAGGAGAGTTGTTCCAGGAGCTGAGAGCGATCTCCTCTTCTCCTGATGCCTTGTGCAGGCTGCCCTAGAGCAGAGGCTGGGCAGAGTTACAGAATAAAGCAGGGATTTATTCCAGGATCTCCTCATGGATCCACCTTGGGCAGCACCAGAGCCCAGCCAGGGCTGCACCCAAATGACCCAAAATGGTCCCAAAATGCACGAGCGCTCCCGGGGGCTCTCCCTGGGATCAGTTCTGCTCCATTGGCACCTTGGAGTTCATTGTCCCATTCCAGCTTTAGCCCAGGCAGTCCCACCCTGCTTGTTTTTCTCTCTCCAGCCCACGGTGTTTGTGCTCCTGGGCTGAGATTTGGATCATTTGTCCTTGGTGCCCAGCTGGAGCAGGAATTGTTTTGTCTCTGCTCTGTGCAGAGAGCTCACCATCCCCAAATATAAATCCCAGACCCACACACTAAAGCAGCACAGAAGCTGAAAAATTTAAAAGCTAAACCTGAGGCATCACTCTGGGCCACCACAGCACCTCATGTTCATCCTCATTTCTGTTTGCAGAACTTCTTCCTCCTCAAACCCTCCCACAGCCACATCCTGACCCATGACAGTCCTGGGGAGAGGCTTCTTCAAGGGAATTTGGGGTCTGAGGAAGTGCCCAAGGCCAGGTTGGACAGGGTTGGAGCAGCCTGGGAGGGTTCACGGTGTCCCTGGCCATGGCAGGGGTGGGATGGAGCATCTTTGAGGCCCCTTCCAGCCCACACCAGGGAGGTGGAGCTGCTGATGTCCCATATGAGCGATATAACCACGTTTCGATGGCTGCTCAGGTCGCTGCTGTTGACACCCAGTGTTGCAAAGGAAGCTGATTTGTTGCTTTATTTGCTTTTAATCTCTCTGTGAACTTTACACCCCTGGGGAAGGAGAGGAATCAAGTGCCAGGCTTGGCTGGTGGCCCCTTGGATTGTTTTGGTTCACGGTTGTGGCAATTTAAATGGAAATAAGGGAGATTTAGATGGGATATTGGGAAGAAAATGAGGGTGTCAGACCCTGGCACAGGTGCCCAGAGCAGCTGTGGCTGCCCCTGGATCCCTGGCAGTGCCCAAGGCCAGGCTGGACAGGACAGTGGAAGGTGTCCCTGCCATGGCAGGGGTGGAACAGGATAATTCTGAGGTTCTTTCCATCCCAAACCTGTCTGGGATTTGCTGCTAATTCAGGTGTGAGCATTTGCCTCCTGCAGAATCTGACTGCAGGGTGGGTGCAGCCCTTGCTGAGCGCTCCAAAGCTGGGCAGGGGAAGTGGAGCTTGGGGAAAAACAAGGGGCTCCACCATCAGCAGTGACAGCCTGAGCGTGGCTGTGCTTAATGCTTCCAAAAAAACCCAAATTATTCACAGAAATGAAGCTTTAGCCGAGAGTGAATTTGCTAATGAATCAGTTTGAAGTATTGTCAAGTAGTTTTTGGTCGCTGCTTCTTGTCTGGCACCTGCAGCTGTAGAAAAACAAGTTAGTAATATTGGCTGAATATGTCAGAATATGGGAATTGAGAAGGGGAAGTCACTTGCTGTTTTTAGCACTTCCCAGAATTTTAATAACATGAGCACAAAGGGCGTTTTGCCATCAGTGTTGTTCATCTTCAGAGCTTAATTCCAAATTGTGTTGAATTGAAGTCTGATAATATGGATAAGAGTAATCTGATCATCCCTATTTTAATTAAATCTTAATTTCAGTGTTATGATTCAGAAATTAGTGGTGTGACTAAACTGTTTTTCCTAAATATCAAAGCCTTCCTGGCTTTGCAGTGAGGAAGAGTTTTGTCTGACAGACAAGTTAGGTGCACCCTGAAAATTACATTGCTGCAGAAAGAGGACCAAGATAATTGGATTATCTAATAAATTTGATAGCCATTGAATAATACAGCATTTTAAAATACAAAAATAAAGATTTTGATTGAAGCATAATGAAAACTCCATTTAACAGACTATGGAAAGACCTGGAAGAGCCTAAAAAATCCAGTTTTCCTTTTGCATGCTAATTTGATGAGTGATCCCAAAAGATACTTTTGATTCTGAAAGGAATAGGTATAAATGATTTCATGTCATTAATTCAGCTGCCTTTATTTTATCCAATGATTTGCTGGATTACAATGTCAGCTTTATTCTTATTTAAAACATGATTACCTTGTCTGGATGGGTCGATTTTTAGCACTGCTGCTGCCATTTTACCTCCTACAAGAACACCATGAAATTGCAGCCATGAAATTGCTGCCTTGAAATTTCCCTTTCAGAAAATGAGAATGTTCTAGTCCTTCTTGCACTGCCATTTACTGGAAATTTGCCCTGATATTTTCTCCAGGTATTCAACTGCATGAAATAAATCTAAACCATCAAACCACAGAATGGTTTGGCTTGGAAGGGAGCATCTAGTTCTGACTTCCAAGCTAATATTTATTAGGATTTGCATAAATAAATGTATATTTCCAGTAGAGATAACTTAATGCTCCCAGAACCTTGTTACAGACTGTTTATTCATTATATTGTCCGTGACCATCCCGTTACTCCTGGTAATTCAAATATTTGTAAGTTCCCCAGGATTAATCATCCTCTGGATTGTTTTACTTCCTCTTGTATTTTTACTTGTGGAGTTGTTGAAATGTGCAAGCAGCCTGGGAGCTGCAGTTTTAAACCTTTAAATACCTTTCCAAATGTTTACATTCCACTGGTATTTACTCCAGGAGGGTTCACGGTGCCTTTGAATCCTCACAATTCCTTTCCATCACTCTGAACCTTCAGAGGGAATGAATTCATCCGAGGAGCTGCAGGTTAAAAGGCAGGAAAATGGGGCAGATTTGGGGCTCCTGTTTAGTGCTGGTTTCACCTTCCAACAAGTCAGTGGGAATGTGAAAATAAGATTTTGTGTCTCTCCACTCTGGGGGGACCCCACCCAGGACACCGTGTCCAGCCCTGGGGTTCCCAGCACGGGGAGGACCTGGAGCTGTGGGAATGAATCCAGAGGCACCAAAATGTTCAGTGGGGTGGAGGAAGGGCTGGGAGAGCTGGGATTGTTCACCTGGAGAGGAGGAGAAGGTTTGGGGTGAGTTCAGGGTGGCCTTGTTGGGCCTGGAGGGGCTCCAGGAGAGCTGGAGAGGGATGGGGACAAGGGATGGAGGGACAAGACACAGGGAATGGCTCCCACTGCCAGAGGGCAGGGATGGATGGGATATTGGGAATTAAGAATTGTTCCCTGGCAGGGTGGGGAGGAGCTGGGATGGAATTCCCAGAGCAGCTGTGGCACCCCTGGATCCCTGGCAGTGCCCAAGGCCAGGTTGGACACTGGGGCTGGAGCAGCTGGGACAGTGGGAGGTGTCCCTGCCATGGCAGGGGTGGCACTGGATGAGTTTTAAGGTCCCTTCCAGCCCAAAGCATTCTGTGACTCTGTAATACCCAGGAGGACCCAGAGGTGGGACTTCCCTGTGGGACTCGTGGTGGTTTCATGGAGAAAATGAGGCAGCATCAGAAAACTGAGTTATGCAGAAGGAAATTGGCTCATTTTATTTGGTATTTAAATGCCAAAGGGATTCTCTGCAGACACTCAATTCCACGAATTAGTTTGGAAAGCAGAACTTCAGAAATAGCTGGTTTCAGGTCAGGGGTTGCACTGGGTGACATTTAAAGGTCCCTCCAGCCAGGCTCAGGTTCTGTGGCTGCAGTGCCAGGTGGGCTGTGCCGGCTTTGCCCAGTGGGATTCAGCTCTGAGATGCTGAACTCACATTTCCTGTGCTTGTCTCCTCTCCTGATGCCTTGTGAGGCTGACCTGGAGCAGAGACTGAACAGAGTTAATGAATAAAGCAGGGATTTATTCCAGGATCTCCTCATGGATCCACCTTGGGCAGCACCAGAGCCCAGCCAGGGCTGCACCCAAATGAACCAAAATGGCCCCAAAATGCACGAGCGCTCCCGGGGGCTCTCCCTGGGATCAGTTCTGCTCCATTGGCACCTTGGAGTTCATTGTCCCATTCCAGCTTTAGCCCAGGCAGTCCCACCCTGCTTGTTTTTCTCTCTCCAGCCCACGGTGTTTGTGCTCCTGGGCTGAGATTTGGATCATTTGTCCTTGGTGCCCAGCTGGAGCAGGAATTGTTTTGTCTCTGCTCTGTGCAGAGAGCTCAGCATCCCCTGATGTGAAACTCAGACCCACACACTAAAGCAGCACAGAATGTGAAAAATAGAAAAACTAAACCTGAGGCATCATTTCCTGCTGGCTGTGGGTGCTGGTTTCCCTCCCCTACCTGTCTTTTGTATTTTCTTCTGATTTGGGTTTGTGCTTCGCACGTACCAAACAAATCTCCTGGTTATCAGCTGCTGCTCCTCTGCAGCCATGGCAGGGTTGGGGTTTTCTCTTCCTGAGTGGCTTTAGTGTGGGTTTTGTCATGTTCCCTGTTGGACATTTGTTTGTGATATCTCTGGATTTTGAAAAGAAGATAAGATCTTTGCAGAAGTAGAGTTGGTTCTTGTGGGATTTCGCCTATCCTGAGATAAAGAAATTTTGTTTTGTGTCATTCGCCAGAATAATTTCATGTTTAGGGCGAAGTTTGCCCTGCCAGCTTGCTTTTGTAGAGGAGGAAAAACTGTGTTAATCACACAGTTTTAATCACACACTTTTAATCATGCAATTTACCCAAAAATGCAAAGGAGCTGATCCAAGGATGGAGCCACGACTCTTGAGTGGGAGTGGTGGGAAAGTTTCTCTGCTTTGGAGGATTTGTCTCTCCTGCATCCATTTCCTACAGTGCTTCAGTCATCAATTTTTGAAGCAGTAATGATTAAAAAGTTATTTCAGGCTTTTTTTCCCCTTGAAAATCCGCCTTGGTTTGGAGACAGTTGTGTTGGCCAGAGATGTTTCAGCCTCTGAGCCTGCAATGGCGTCAGTTTTAACTTTCTCATGCAATTTTTGGGCTGTATTTATACATTTACTGATACTAAAAAAAAAATAGAGGTAAAAAAATGAAGCCACACTGTGCCTTACTCACAGGCTCTGCAGGGATGAAGCCACTGGGGGAGCAGCTGCAAGGATTTGGGAACAGATGTGCCCAGGTATAAAGAAAAATGAACTTTTTTTGGATTTTGACCCAATTTCCTTGTGAAATGGTAGGAGATCTTGGGGCAGAGAATCAAATCAGTCGTGGTGGGGATGCTCTGTCCTTGACTGAAGAAATGGGGACACTTGTTTGGCAGAAGGTTCAACTTCTCTTTTCCTGCCTTGGATTGAGCTTTCAGTGTTTGCCTGGGAATCAGTTCTCCACAGACACCCCAAAAATGGTGCTGCAGTTCTGTGAAAGGAAGAGAGGGGTGATTTTTTTTTTTAATTGTGTAATTGTCTGATGGAAATTTTGCTAACCTCGTGATGCAAACTTGTTGTTTGCCCTCTCTCTCATGTCATGGTCTTGTCACAGAGCTAAAGGGAACCAACACAAACCCCCGGATCTTGGAGCACTCTGACATTTCTAAACTCATGGAAGTGGCTGCATTTTATCTGTGAGGGACAAAACCAGAGATTGTTTTTTTGGTGTTTGTTTCCTTGGCTTCCAGAAGGAGTTGCAAAACATCCCACAGCAAGTGTTGGGTGATTATTCATCCTCATGCAGCCGCTCCTTCCCAGAGTGATTTCCTGAAGCCCTGCCAAGCCAGGGTCAAGCCTGTCACTTTTATCTTTATACACCACCTAAAAGTCATCCCTGGTGCCTTTTATTGCCTTCCCTCTCTTTGCATTATCATGTTGATTTATGAGCCCTTTCTCCCCTGTGTGTCCCGAGCTCACCTGTGCCTCTCCAGGAATTGTTTCCCATTCCCTCATACCCTGTGGAGCACCCAGAGAGTTTCCAGCTGTGGGTGTTTGTTTGATCCACATGAATCCTTTCTGGATTATTGCAGGTGTTACCTACTCCTAGGTTTGTTTGTTTGTTTGTTTTGGTTTGGGTTTTTTTTGTGGGTTTTTTTTCTTTCTTTTTTTGAATCCCAGAATTGTTTGGGATGGAAAGTAACTTAAAAATCATCCCATGCCACCCCTGCCATAGCAGGGACACCTTCCACTGTCCCAGGCTGCTCCAAGCCCTGCCCAACCTGGCTTTGGACACTTCCAGAGATCCAGGGGCAGCCACAACTCCTCTGGGAATTCCATCCCAGCTCCTCCCCACCCTCCCAGCCAGGAATTCCCTCCCAATATCCCATCCAACCCTTCTGTCTGTCAGCTCTCCCAGACCACTGTAGGAATGGTTAAAAAACTCCTTCAAGTGTGTAAATGTAGTTTAAAAGAGAAAAAGAACCCAAAATACCAGCAGCAACAGAAATTGCCTTAATTTTGGAAGAGTGGTTGTAGGGTTGTGTTTTGCTTGCTGAAGGTTCAGACTGGGAGTTTGGCTTCCTTAAATAAAACATGTTGGGTTTTTAATGATTTTAATCTGTTCTGTATTGAATTATTCAAGAGAACTAAAAGGTTACAGGAGCATAATGAAAGTGAAAGGTAAAGAGACACTTGCATAAAACACTGTGAACAGAAGGGTGAGACTCGGAGTTTGTACCAGATATAACAAAGATGTTCTTTAATCTCCATTCTGAGAAAAATGTCATTATTCCTGCTTGTTCTTATATTCATATAGAATTTCAGTGAATAAAAGCTCTGTGAAAGGTGGCATTTTCTGTATGAAAATCTATATGAAATGTGGTTGAGTATCAGCTGATGTGCATAAGGGCACTGCAGCAAACCTTTTAATGGGCTTCAAATTCAGCTTGCTGCCTTAAGCTGTAAGTTCAGCTTTCTCTGATTACAGGGAAATTGAAAAATATCTTTAATTTTCTCAGCAGCAGTGGTTTGGTTGTGCTTTGGACAAGGGAGAAAAAATTTAAAACCTTTTATTTTTTTATTTATTAAAAAAAAAATAAACTTTCAAATTGATGTTTGCCTGTGTCAAGTATTGTGAAGGTTTTAGTAAGCGGAGGCAGATAATTGGAGAGAATTTTTGGTGCCTTTAGCACAGTTTTTGTGCCACATGAGGCGATCCACGTCTGATATTCCACATTTCTTGTTCCATCCCCAGACTCCACCGAGGAGAACACCTTGCACAAGGAGCTGCTGACTTCCCTGCTGATCCTGGTGCTGGTGGTGATCATTTTCGTGGTGCTGGTGGGGTATTTTTTCAGGTGGGTGTTGGTGGGCTCAGCCCCATCCTTTGTGCCCTCCCACGGAAGGAAGAGGGGCAGGAGGGAGGCAGAGCCGCAGAGGGGCCGTGCTCTGCCTGCCAGCATGAGCAGAAAGAGCTTCTCCAGAATTACGTGGTCTGTAAAACGCTGTGGGAAATGGGGGGAAATGCTGCTTTTCTCCTGCCAGGGTGGCCAGGCTGATGTGCTGCCTCTGTTCCAGGTTCAGGAGACACAGGAAAGCTGTGGTCAACTCCGGAGACAAGAAGATGCCAAATGGGATCTTGGAAGAGCAAGGTATGGGGAAAATTTGCTTTCAAACTCTCAGTTTTGTTTGTCTTTAATTCAAAATTACTCATTGTTTGGTTTTATGTCTAATATAAGTGGCAGGGTTGTTATTAAAGAGAAAATAGTCTGAAAAAAATTTAATCACAGACGGTTTGAGTTGGAAAAGACCTTAAATTCATCCAGTTCCAGCCCTGTGCCATGTGCAGGGGCATCTGCCAGCACTTGGTTGTCCCATCCAAGCTGGCCTTGGACTAAAGATCCATATTTAGAAATCCATATTCAGAAATCCATACTCCAGCAGTCTACAGAAAATCGTAACTTCCAGTTGCTGGTTTGAAACAGGTTTCACTTTGTGATGCCGCAGATGTTTCTGTGTAAAACTTTGGAGATGTTTTACCACGAATGCCAGCTGAGATTCAAATTTGTGACACTGGGATCTTTGTATCTGGAGAAGGAACTGCAGTGTTTCTTCTTAAAATGGGGAAAAAAGTCCTTAACACTTTGTGAATACACTGGGTGGTTTCTGAACGTGAAGCAGGAGGTTGAGATGGGGCTGTTTGAAGCCAGAGGCACTGAAATAAAACACTCTGAGCAGCAGAAAATGTTTCCCACTGCTTTGGGTTGTGCTGGGTTTGTTTCTGCCCGTGGGGAGCCCCAGGCTGGCTCCTCTGTGGGGCCCAGCTCAAACCTGGGTGGGCAAGTTGTTTTAATCACAACCCAGAGAGAAATGATAAAGTTAAAGATAAAATAGTCAGTCTGTGGTTTGTGTCAGCCCCACTTGCCCATTGTGAAATGATGAGTGAGCTGAAGAAGGTGGCAGTCAGAGGAAAAGCCAAAACCCTAAAAATACCCATCAGCTTCCTGCTGGGGTGTTCCTGTGCACAGGGCAGCAGCTCCTCTTGGGGCACAGCTTCTGTTGGTGCCAAGCTAAAGATAAATTATTTTTGTATTATTATTATCATTATTTTCCTTCTAAATAAATGATCTGGCAGCAGTTCTTCAGTGCCAAAAGCTGTCCTTGTCAGCAGAAGGAACCTTCTCCTTATCTGAATAAAACTTGGTCACTTTTAAATCCAGTGTAAATAGAGAAGTCATTAATTTCACCAGTAGTGGTGGTTCTTGCGACCATTATGCCCTCAAAGCAACCACTTGGCCTATGATTTGGTGGTTTAATTTCCTTTAAATCACCTTTAGCACCTCAGAGCGTATGGTAGCAGCTTGTTCTGGCCTCTTCCAGCACCAAGATTAATTTGTGGTTGGGGATCTCGGGCTCTGGCCATGCCTTTAACACCTCCTGCCCTTGTGCTGACAGAGCAGCAGCGGGTGATGCTGCTCAGCAGGTCTCCCTCGGGCCCCAAGAAGTATTTCCCTATCCCTGTGGAAAAACTGGAGGAGGAAATCCGGATACGCTCGGCCGACGAGGGGAAGCTCTTCAGGGAGGAGTTTAATGTAAGTTTTTACACGTGGATGGCTGAAAATGAGGGAAAAACCCAAAATATCTGTGAGCATTAATAATTCTTGTGTTGAGTGCGTGATTGGTGCTGTTCCTATGAGTTCTGTCGTGTGTGGGGACCTTTCATCTGCATAAAACCTGGAGTTTTTACTGATTCGAGATGCTGAATTGGTATTATATGAACTATTTGCCTCTTGCTAACATTTGAAGAAATACTTTAGTGTTTGCCTGAAACTGGGGGAGGTGAATATTGAATATAAACCTCTAGAGCGTTGATTTTAATTATGGTGCTGGGGGGTTTTGGGGGATCTGGGTGTTTCAGCTCCATGAGAAGTATTTAGAGGAGAGGACACAGTGTGGCCTTAGCATTGCCCTGGTGGGGTGTGACTTTTTTTTTTCTGATAATTTAACTTTTTGGTTTTGGTTTCCATCCCAGCACTCCCCTCTGTGAGTTTCTATGAGGTGTCTCAGCTCTCAGGGCTTTGTGGTTGTAGGGGTGAGCTGTACCTGGAGTCTGTGCTGAGCTCCTGCAGGATTCCTGTGGAGAAACACAAACCCAGGAGTCTGGGGGCTTTTCCAGATTTTTTTTATGACTTCTTTTCACTTCCATCCACAGCAGAAGCAGAGCAGGAGCTTAAATGTCAGGCGTGGATTTGTGAGAGCCAATGCACGTGTTGATGAGGCAGGCTGTTGAGTTACCTTCTTAATTGGGAGCATATTTAGAGCTGCAGTTTGGTTGATGATAAATTTAAACCACAGACTTTTGCCTTCTCAAACAGGGAGCATGGTGGAAATCCTTCTCAAAGCTGAAAATGAGAGTGAGAACCAGCTTTGAGGTTCAGAGTGAAACGAACCATCTCTTTTCCTTTTAAACCCCTTCTTTGCTTGGGTAATTTTCTGTCCCGTGCTGTGAGTGTGTGGGGTTCTGTCCACACCCAAAAACCTGAAAAATGAGCAGTGATGGGCTTGGATGGGGTTGATGCTCAGTGTGTTTTTCCCCTGTGTGGCTGGATGAGCTGACTGCTCCAGCCTTGGATCCCTGGCAGTGCCCAAGGCCAGGTTGGACATTGGGTTGGAGCACCTGGGACGGGGGAAGGTGTCCCTGCCATGGCAAGGTGGCACTGGGTGGGATTTAAAATATCTTCCCCACCCAAACCATTCCATGCTTCTCTGCTTCTGTGCCTCAGTCCTGCCCTGGGGGTGCTCCAGGGATCTCTGCCCACTCCACATCCCACGTGTCAGGGGCCAGGCATCCCTGGGAATGCAGATACAGGGGCTCCAGTGGGAATCAGGGACAAATTTGGGCTGAAACCAGTGACCCCTGGGAGCCAGCACTGCCCAGGCACGTGCACCAACCTGAGAAATCTGGTCCCAAGTGATTTTTTTGGCAAAAATAAACCAGACACTAAAAAACGAAGACACCCAACAGGGAGAAAAAGGTTTTGAAGACTGTTCCTGACTTTGAAGACAGTTCTCTTGGATTTATGTGCCACCTTTGATTTTGTCCTTAAAGCCTGAATGACCCTTAAGAGGTCCATTGCAGCCCTTGGACACTCACTAGAATAGCAGAGGCTCCTTCCTTTTTTATGTGATTCCTTTGTGAACATTGGGCACTGGAAGAGTGTGTTCTTTCTTCACAGGAAAAAAAAAAAGAAATTAAATTTTTCCCTTCTGTAAAGCCCCTACCTCTGTTGATCATCCCTGGAAGTTTGGTTTATTGCCTTGATTTTCAGATTAATTACTGAAAAGCTACCTTCCCCTAAGAGTTTTGTTTTGAAATTTAAATTATGGCTCGATTAAGACATCCCTGTGGCTTGTTCAGTGTTTAAAAAGGAGGAAATGTGCTGATCCTGGCTGGCTTGAGCCTCTCAAAGCTTCTATGGGATTTTAGGGTTGCTGCCTGGGGGAAACAGGTCAGAGTGGTGGCAGTGTCGGAATCTGAGCTGTTGATGATTCCCAGACTGTAGAAAGTCTCTGTCTGTCAGCCCCGCTGCCAAAGCAGAAGCCATAATTGGTCTGTGCTGTTTCAAGGTTGTTTATTCTGTTTATCTCTAACATGTTCTGCTGCCCTGCCGCAGCTCTGTCCTGCAGGGCAGCGTGTGGGGCTCTGCCCTCAGTGGGATGGTACAAACATTAAATACCACAAACTACCTGTGCTGGATTTACAATAACGTGCCAATATCTGTCACCTACGTTGGACAGTGTGTCCCCAGCCTGAACCAACAGAAAAATGCCAACACCACAGTGAAACATGGAGGGTATGAAGAAGGAGAAAAAGGACAAGGCACACCCAATTTCCTCCATCTTGTCCCCTTTGGACCCCTAATCTAGAATCCTAAAATTTTACTTTTGCACCCGTGCCACACTTAATTATTACTGATATCAAACACTCAGAGCTTGTAATTCATCCTGTGAGATTGAAAACTCTTTTCCATGGACAGAGATCACAGCCAGTGTCTCTGGGGGCTCTGTCCAGGGGGGTTCCTGACCCCTGCCAGGGTCCCAGGGCAGCCAGAGGGAAGCTCTGGACTCCCACAGACCTCAGCAGGTCAGAGGGAGAATTTTGTAGATAGGGAAAAATAAGCCTTGAGAACTCTGCTTCATTCCAGACCTCTCCTCCAGCTGCTGGGCTGGGGGAACAAGGACTTTTATGATTTTGGGGTCATTCCAAGTTAGCAGACCTGGACACCCGTCAGCTCCTGGTGGTTTGGGGTGCTGGGAGGATGTGCTGGGGAGCAGCTGGTGATTCACATCCTGCTGTGGGTGGGAGAGGAGCTGGGCTCTGCTCCGGGCTCACCACCCACCCTGGGGCACCGGGAGCTCCCTGGGATGGTGCCAAGGCCTGGCAGAGGTCAGGAGCTGGGCATGGAGAGGAGATCTGCCCCAGGGGAATTCCTTTTCATGCCTTTTGTGCAGGAAAATCCAAAACTTCTCTGGCTGGCAATTGAAAATTGGGTGCATGAGTCGAAGTTTGAAGAGATTGTGTTTAAAAAGAGAATTATTTCATAGGGTCACAGAATGGTTTGGTCTGGAAGGAGTTCCAACCCCTTGCCGTGGGCAGGGACACCTTCCTCTCTTTCTTTTTACACAAAAATTTCGTTTTTGTGTTTCATAAATGTACTTTGATCAGCAAAATGGGCTGATAGGAAGCCACGAGCTTCATTCAGATGAGAATTAAGCAGCCTGACAGCAGCTTTCCTCCAACCTCCTCTCTTTTCCATTCTTCATGTGCCGTGAAAGCCCCAACAAACCAAAGCATGGAAAGCACAATTTCCTGTATGCTGGAGGATTGGGGCTGCCCATACCCCCCTTTCCTCCTGTGTCACCCTGACAGCCTTTGCAGTTTTGGGGGAATTCCAGCCCTGCTCTCAGCTCTGCCCTCCATCACCACGTTTTTCCTTCCCTGCCTGACTCAGGCTGGGCAGGGGAGGTACAGGAGTGGCAGAAGGTGCTGGTGCCCTCCCAAACTTCCCAAACTCATGGATTTTACCTCAGTGGGATCCACCCTGCTGGCACTGGGGGTTTTGGAGCTCAGTTTAAGGAACTTCATGAAATCCACTTAAAGAACTTCTCAAAATTCAGTTCTGCTTTGGTCCATTTGCAGTGGCAACATCTCAGCTGTGGAGCAGCTCCACCTTGGGCACCTCCTTCCTTTCATTTTCACCCTCTTTGTTTTTTTGGTTTTTTTTTTCCTTTAGTTTATAACCCTCCATGACTGTTTTGGGGTTTTTTGGTTTTTTGTTTTTTTTTTTAAGCTAGACTAAATTTACCTGCACTCAGCTCTCGCCAACACTCATAACTCAACTTGCATCACATAAAAACCCCACAAATTATTTTCCTTTCCTCCTTTTCAGCCAGGGCTGGGCCTTCCCCTGCAGAGCTGAGCCAGATGCTGGGTGTGGGATGTCCTCAGCAGTGAATGATGGGCATGTTGAACAATTTGCTAAACAACTGTGATCTCAGAGGGGAAAAATTCCTTCTCTCTCCCCAGTCAAACCTGCCAGGATGTAGTTGCCTGTTAGGGAGGAATTAAAGTTACTGGGGGGGGGAAAGTTGAAATATATTTAGTTCTGCTGGATGCAAATTTACCCTAAGCCATGTGCAGTCAAAATTATTTGTTTTTTAACACATTAACTCTATTTTTTTTTTTTCAGTCATTAACCTCTGGATATGTGCAGGGAACGTTTGAAATGGCAAATAAGGAAGAAAACAGGGAGAAGAACAGATATCCCAACATCCTGCCATGTAAGTAATTCACTTTTCTTTTACACCAGACAATTAATTTTGACACTGAGAGGCTGCTGGTAGTGCTCATGTGCTGAAAATACTCAAATAATAACAACTTCCCTGGTCAGAAATGCTGTTCAGGTGTTGTCTGTGGTTTGGGAACTCTGTGCTTTTCCAGACCTCCTGCTTGCAAGGAAACACCATATTTCAGATTTAATAAGTGGCCAGTGTCCTTCTTTTCTTTCAGATGATCATTCCAGAGTGATTTTGACCCAAATTGATGGAGTCCCACCTTCAGACTACATTAATGCATCATATATAGATGTGAGTTGAGAGTTGCCCACAGCTGGCCAAACTTGGGGCATTCAAGAAGTAATTCTCACACTTTGGCCTTTCAGCTTTTAACTGCTGTGGCATTTATTTCCACAGGGCTATAAAGAAAAGAATAAATTTATAGCAGCACAAGGTAACTCCTTCTCATTTCTCTCTTCTCTGTAGCTTAGGGCTGAGCACATTTAATTATAGATGTGTTTGAAAGTTTCTTTTTAGCTGCAGGTGGTCAAGGGTGAGGCTGGGTTTGGAGGTTCCAGCTGAAATGAATTTGAGGTGTGTGTGAGGTGAGCAGATGCCTCTGGGTAGTTCTGGAGGCTCTGCTCTGGCAGAGGCTCATTTCCCCCTCCTGACCCTCTTTGTTAGAATTTGGCATCTCCTGATGATCCATTCCAAGGGAACCTTGGAGCTGGGCATGGGGGAGAGCTGCAAAGTGGGAATTCCAAATGTTGCTCCTGCCAGAGTTCAAAAATTAAATAATATTTAAGAATTAATGTGTTAGAGAATCTTTCAGGGCCTAAAGAGGCTCCAGGAGAGCTGGAGAGGGACTGGGGACAAGGGATGGAGGGACAGGACACAGGGAATGGATTTAAGCTGACAGTGGGTAGATTTAGATGGGATTTTGCACAGGAATTGTTCCCTGGCAGGGTGGGCAGCCCTGGCACAGGTGCCCAGAGCAGCTGTGGCTGCCCCTGGATCCCTGGCAGTGCCCAAGGCCAGGTTGGACATTGAGGAGCAGCCTGGGACAGTGGAAGGTGTCCCTGCCATGGCATGGGTGGAAAATAAATGATTAAATTATTTAAATGAACTTTAAAGTCCTTTCCACTCACACCATTCTGTGATTCTATCAGTGATATTTCAAGAGAGGAGATTTCTTCTAAAAATGTTGATTTGAGTGCATGATTATGTAAAAGAAAACATGGGAGGGGTTATTTAATACATAAATATACAAATTTGGTGTGTTCCAAAGCTGTGCAGGTGTAGCAAGCTCAGCTGTGGGTGGGTGCCCAGGGCAGGGGTGGGACTGCTCTGGGGTCTGCCCCATCCCTCTCTGAGCATTTCCCTGTTGTGTCTGCAGGACCCAAGCAGGAAACAGTCAATGACTTCTGGAGGATGATCTGGGAGCAGAAATCAGCCATCATTGTCATGCTAACCAACCTGAAGGAAAGGAAGGAGGTAAGGAGCTGTCACCTGCTCTGGGCTGTCCCTGTGCTCCAGCAGCAGTCCTGGCTGCTCAGGCTCTGACCAGGTGCATGTCTCACCTCTTCCTGCCCTGCTCCCTGTCAGCACAGCTGAGTTCTGCTCCAAAAAATGTAGTTTTCATTTCTAAAATGCCCATTTATGTCAGGTGGTCTCAAGGAGAAAATTCTGATGGCCAATTGTGCCCTGCATAGCCCAGAGCCAAAGGAGAACTCCTGTGGTTTAATCCCAGTGTGAGGCTGCACTTGTGGAAGATAAAAACTCTGCTCATTTTCTTGAGTATTTGGTTTCAAAATTCACAGTTTGTCAACCAAACAAAGAGAAATGAAAGCTGCTGTGTTGTGAGGGTGCTGCTGTTCCTTCCTGTCCCCATTGGTTTTGAAATGGGCACTCCTTGTTTTCCTCCTGGACTTGATTCTCCTGCACTTTCCCTGCTGCTTGATGAAGCTCAAACAGCAGAGCCAGGCCATGAGCACCCATTAATTCCCAGTGGGAGCAGCCAGAACTGCTAAATCGGGATATTCCTGGTTTGAATTTCTCACTGTCTCGAAATCAGAGTGAGAACCTGGCAGTCCCCACAGCTGGACACCCTGCAACAAAGCTGCCAAACTGAAACAAAAGCTGTGGGGGCTGAGCTGGTTAAAAATCAGCTCAAAGCTGTTCTCACCTTCTCTGCATCAGTTTAAGAAGCAGTAGCAGGGTGCTGAAGCTGTGCCAGTAAAGGAACTCCGCACACTCACAGCTGTGCTCACCTTCCCTGGATCCAGCTAGGAGTGCTTGGCAGTGAAAGCAAAGTCAGGGTGATAAAATTCCCTGGGCTTGGCTCTGAGATTCCCTGGGTTTGGTTCTGAAATTCTCTTTGCTTGGATCTGAAATTTCCTAGGTTTAATTCTAAAATTCCCCATGCTTGTCTCTGAGATTCCCCTGGGTTTGGCTCTGAAATTCTGTGGTTTTAGTTCTAAAATTCTCTGAGTTTGGTTCTGAAATTCCCTGTGCCTGTCTCTGAAATTCCCTGGGTTTTGTTCTGAGATTCCCCGTGCTTGGCTCTGAAATTCCCTGTGCTTGTCTCTGAAATTCCCTGGGCTTGGTTCTCAAATTCCCTGTGCCTGTCTCTGACATTCCCTGTCCTTGTCTCTGAAATTCCCAGGGTTTGGCTCTGAGATTCCCCGTGCTCATCTCTGAGATCCCCTGGGTTTAACTCTGAAATTCCCCGTGTTGGCTCTGAAATTCCCTGTTTCTGTGCAGGAGAAGTGTTTCCAGTACTGGCCCGAGCAGGGCTGCTGGACGTACGGCGGCGTGCGCGTGTCCGTGGAGGATTCCGTGGTGCTGGTGGATTACACCGTGCGCAAGTTCTGCGTGCACTCGGTGAGTTCGGGGCTGCCTCGGCCCTGAGGGAACCAAAAACAAAAATAATAATAATAAAAAAAAAAAAATCTTTCCTTGCAAGAAATCCAGGCTGTTTGAGAAATCCGAATTTTAGACATTTGGCTGATTTTAGCCGACAGCTACATCGTGATTGAGGCTAAATAAATACGTGGTTGTTGGCTTTCGCTCTTGTAAATTAACTTTTATCAATTGCTAATCACAATTATTTTAACATATTATTAATAATAATTCTAAAAATAATAATTTATATTTATAACTACTTTTAATATAATAATTGTGATCTGGCCCCTTGGATTCTCAAAATATCATTTATGAACAGTGTTTTAGTTTATGAGCAGTCCAATCTGGAATGTGGATTCTCAAAGTCCAATCTGGAACTTGGGTTCTCAAAACATCATTTATGAACAATATTTTAGTTTATGAGCAGTGTGGTAAATATATTACGGTTTTAACTTTTGCAAAATATTAGAATATGTGTTATACATTTAACTTTTACAAAAACTACATCAAATAATAGCGAATACTTTTGCTTTTGTAACTAACAGTAAAAACAACTCAACATACCTGTAAAATAAGTGATACTTAAATATATACTTAAATACATACTATATACTTAAATAACATTAAAAAATATACAATCAGTAAGTACCAACTACTAAAACCACAAAAACAAAAGCTGTTGTGAAAAAGTAACACACAACCCTCAAAAAAAAAACAACTCAGTTCATCATTTCTACACCAGTCAGAAATCAAACCAAACTAAAAAAATTCCCAAAACATATAAACAAATTCCAAAAAAATTTTGAATATATATAATATTTATAAATATGTATGTAATGAATACATAAAAAATATATTTAAAAATATTATAGTTAACTAAAGTGCCTCTAACTAAAACTAACCACCCAACACTATTTATTGCCCTTATATTTTTGTTTAAATTATTTATTATTATTATTTAAATTAATAATAATTATTATTATTATTTTATTTTATTATTTATTAATATTTTATTAAAATTTATTTTTGTAAAAAACAGAGCTGCTTTCTAACAGGCAGGTAATTTGTGGGTGCAGAGGGGTGTGTGCCCAGGAATATCCCCTGCAATTCCTGGCTGAGAGGATCTGGATTTCTCTGCCCAGGGATGCCTTGGGACTGCCCAGCACAGGAGCAGGGACTTCATCTGTGGGGGAAAAAAATGCACAGTTAAAAAAAAAAAAAAAATTGAATTTGATCTATTTGGTGTTGGAATCTGAAATACAAGGGATTCTCAGAACTTTAATTCTAAGCCAAAGTTTAAGATTAAACACAGGATTTGAGCTGAGACCTTGGAAAAGGCTTCTAAACCCAGGTGCTGGTAGCAGAATGTGGATTTATAGTTTAAAGCAGAGACGTGTTAAACTAAGTAAAGGAAAGTTTAGAGTTTTAGAGATTAAGATATAGAAAAAATAAGGTAGTTACAGAGGTAAACAAAGTTTAGAATGCAGCACTGTGGTTTGTGTGATAATATGATTGCTAAGAAAGCTGACACTGTAGCATGGGGCCATAAGATTAAATATTTAAGGATTGGGTCAAAACCATAAATATCCTTATTGGCAGTGTTTAATTGGTCAATAACTCCTTAAAAGGTCTTATAACTAAGGGTCTTGTGACTTTCTGAGCCGTGCAGTGAAGATGTGAGCCTAACTCACCTTCCTGCCTGTGTAGAAGATAAGAAAAATAAACCTCATCAAATAAAATAATTCAGAGATCTCATCTCAAATTCCTTCCAAAATTCCCCACAAGTGAATTATCACAATTTGGCTATTTGGAAAATTCTGTCTCACTCTTTGCAATCCTATCCAGGGATTATTCCACTGAAAATAAATGGTATTTTCACATAGTGTTTGTGTTTTACACACACTGTAAACTCCAAATCCTCGAGTCAGGCCCGGAGGGTGGCGGGGAATAAATCCATAAATAAAAACCATGGCAGTTTGTTTATTAATCTTTGCGTGGAAAATGAGATGTCAGCCTCAGAGTCTGGGTGTTCCTGCAGCTCCACGAGGGATGCAAAGCTCCAAGGCTCGTCACACAGCTCCACTTCACCAGCTGGCCGGATTTTGGGGTGCCTTTCACACCTATTGGCATGCTGAAATTCCTGAAAAAAGTCAAAACCTTGAATCCTGCCCATGCTGGACCAATTGTGGTTCACTGTAGGTATGTATGTGCTCCTCAGACCATTCTTGTGGCTTGGCTTGGAGTTATTGATATATATTTAGATTTTTTTAAATATATTTTATTATATTTTTAATATTTCATGTATTTTTTATATTTATTTTATGTATGTATTTATATTTATAGATATATTTACTCACATATTTCTATTCAAGGGTAATAATCTGAGTTTTTGAGAGCTGAGAGTAAAGTCAACTTCCAAAGCTCTGTCTTTGCTGTCACTTTAATACTCAAACAGAAGTTGTTGTTCTGCTGTTTAGGGTTTTTGTTCTGAGGGATCTCCATTGTTTGGTATAAATCTGTTCTTTGTCAGAAAAACAGACTGGTGATAGAAATCTGTGGCCTTTGCCACTCAGTGCTGCTTGGGGAATTCATCCCCCACTTCTCCCACAGTCAAATTGCAGTTTTTTAATGGAAATTAGTCACGAAATGCCTGAAAAGTCTGGAAGAAAGACTTGAATTCAAGAGATTTAAATGCTGCAATTTTAAAAATGTGCTTCATCAGATCCAGAACCAACTCCCACCCTTTGGTCACTCACACAGGCACATCCTGCTGCTAAACTGTTGAAATCTGTAATGAAACTAAAACCAAACTCTCAAACAGTTGGAAGAGAATAATTGCAATTTCTAGAGCAGCTGTAAGCTCACCCCGAGCAGGAAGTGGCTTTTCAGGAGCAATTGTCATTGCAAAGTTAGAGTAAAAAGAACACAAAAAGAGCAGGATGAAAAGAAAAGAACAGCTTTGGCTGTCTGGGTCTTGTTTTTAAGGCAAAAAAAGTTGTAAATTCCTGTATTTGCCTCTTTTTCCTTGCTAGAAATACTTCCTAGAAATGTGTGTAGAGAAAATGAGGGTGTTTGTCCTGCTGGGATTCACCTTCTCCCCCAGGTGTCATGAATAAAAAAAAACATTTAGATGGGAAAAGTAGATTTGAGTTGTCCCAGTTGAGAATATTTTTACAGCTCTTTGCTGTGTGTGGAGCCTCTTTCTGGGCTTGAGCTTTATTTGGCAGCAGCAGGAAATGCTGTGCTTGGTTTAACCAGCAGAAGGAAAGCCAAAAGCAAGGAAAATACAAAATAATTTCATCAGTACCTGCAAAGATTTAAATCTAAAGGGCCAGCAGGGCAGAGCAAGGCTGTGTGTGTCAGGGTGAGAAATGGAGCAGGACAGAGGTGACACTGAACTTCCCTCCCAGCTCAGGATGTGACACCACTGAATTGTTGGGAAAAGGAAAGGGAAGCCCATCAGCAGTGAGTAACCATCCATTTTTAGGGAGCCTGTAGGAAAATCTGCCCCAGCCACCCTGGCCAAAAGCTCTCCAGTGAGGTTTGGGAAGTGAATAAAAGTGAATAAAACACTGATTGAGCATTTGGGAGTCAAGGAGTGAGAATGAGGAGTGGCGGGATTTTCTGCTGGTTCTTGTATTCTGTAAGTTTTTAGAAATAGGTTTTTTTGGAAGGAGAATTTTTTCAGTGGGTGGGGAGGGACTGTGAGGAATGGCTGAGTAAGGGAGGCCACGAAGCAGGCCAAGGATGGAGACACTCAGGGAGCTCCTGAGGGGGATGTCCAGGGTGGGGACATCACCAGCTTGAGCAGGGATGGAATCCTGAGCTGCTCTGGGAGCTGTGGGAGGGAACAGGGCTGTGTAAAAAGGGATCCTGGCTGGAAAGGGAGTGAGGAACTGAGCTGGGCTGAACACTCCAGGGATGAGCAGTGAGGGACCAGTGAGAACTGGGGAGGGGAGATCCGTGCTCAGGGGTGGCTTCCAGGGCTGTCAGGAGGAGAACCATCTCTTTTGAGTGGGAATTAAGGCACTGGGAGATGAGGGGGATTCCTTGTGCTGCCAGAGGGCCAACATGGATGGATGGAAGGGAATCTCCATCGCCCCTCCAGACCTCTGCAATAGTGGAGCTCGTGGGTTTTGGTTTCCCTGCTGGTAAAAGTGAGTGTGGAAATGAAATAATTGTACTACAAACACAATTTTAATTTTTTTTCTGGTCTTATTGGAAACCTAATGTTGCCTTGCTGAGAATTGCTGTGTATTTTTGAGCTCATGAGGGGAGAGGAGACGTTTTTATTTGTTCCTGGAGGTGTTTGTGGCCACTGCAGCCAAGCAAACTGCCCAGAGGTTAAAGGAGAGCTGCTCATGACTAGTACAGGATGCCATGCCCTTTTCCTATGGAAGGAAGAGCTGAAAGTCGCTGGAATTTTGTCATTTCTAACAGTCGTGCTCCCTCTCGTGGCTTTTAAGGATATAAAAGCCAAAACGTGTTTAGGGATGGCAACGTTGGGAAATGCGGAGCTAAAAATTCCTAGAAGAATAATTAAAATTTAATTTTAACCTGAATTATTAAAGACAGTCAAGCAGATTTTCTTTTCAAATGTGTTTTTAAATGTAATTCTGATGCCATCAGCTGGGGAGAGCTGGGGTTTTATGCTAAAAACACCCCTTTTTTTTGCTGTCCTTGTTAAAATGAAAAAGGGGGAGGTTTAGATTGGATATTAGGAAAAAGATTTTATGGAAAGCGTGATAAAATTTTGGAATGGCTGCCCAGGGAGGTGGTGGAGTCCCCATCCCTGGGTGTGTTTAACAAAGCCTGGATGTGGCACTGGGTGCCAGGGCTGAGTTGAGGTGTTGGGCTGGGTTGGACTCGATGATGTTGAAGGTCTCTTCCAACCTGGTGATTCTGGGAATACTGTGAATTTCTTTGCTGAAAGGGTGACCAGGCACTGGCACAGGCCTCAGGGGTGGAAGCCATCCCTGGTGGGATTTAAAAGCCCTGTGGATGTGGCACTTGGGGACATGCGGGGGGAACAGCTGCACTCCAGGATCTGAGGCAGCTTTTCCAGCCTTTACCATTCCATGATTCCGTGAGATTGAATGTTTCCCAGCGAGCATTTCAGTCCAGTCTGAGCAGGAGGCTCACTGCTGCAGCAGTTCCTGCAGATGGGGGTGACTCCAGGGGTGTTTTTGTGTGTTTGTTCCCTCCCAAGTGCGGGCGTGGGGCGCACGGGCACCTTCATCGTCATCGACGCCATCATCGACATGATGCACGCCGAGCAGAAGGTCGACGTCTTCGACTTCGTCTCCAGGATCCGCAACCAGCGGCCCCAGATGGTCCAGACCGATGTGAGTGCTCTTCAATCGCCCCAAATTCCAACTTTTCCTGGGCAGAGAAGGGAATGCTGCTGGATTCCCACTCTGTTGGGCAGCCCAGCGTGCCCCGTGCTGTTGGACTATTGTAAATGCAGGAGAACCCAACGGGAAGAAATGAGGATGTCTGACTCAATTCAGAAGGCTGAATCATTTCTTTATTATAACTATGCTAAAATACATTAACATGCTATATAAAAGGGAAGATACTAAAACTACACACTACTTTCTCTGACTCTAACTCCAACACAACTCGTGACTCTCTCTGAGAGCCCAGCCCCAGGTGGGTTGGGTTGGATTGGGATGGATTGGGTTGAGATGGATTGGTTTGGGTTGGGTTGGATTGGGTTGGGTTGGATTGGATTGGATTGGCCATCAGGCTCAAACAATCCTCACCAGAATCCAACCCAGCAATCACCCCAGGGAAACAATTCTCCAAACACATTCCACATAGGAAAAACAAGGAGCAGAAATAGAAATTGTTTTCTCTTTCTTTTCTCTCTGTGCACCTCTATGAAAAATCCTGAGAGGGAGAGAAATGTGCTTGCCACATAGGACAATTGAAAATTGGGGCTTGGAACAACCTGGGATTAGTGGGAGGTGTCCCTGCCCATGGCAGGAGTGGGATGGGGGAGTTTTAAGGTCCCTTCCAACCCAGATCATTCTGGGATTCTCTGATTCAAAAATGGACAAAGCTCAGTGAAGGATGAGGAGTGGGGCAGAAGATAAAGGTGAAGAAGACCACTGTGAAACACTAAATTTTTAGGAGTCATTTCCAGGCATTCCCATGCACATGAGAGTGGAATGTCAGAGAACATGAGCAGAAATGTGAGCACAACAGGAAAGCTCTGGTTTAACGTAATAATTTCTAATTATTATTATGTTAATAATTAGGAGATTGTCACCAAACAGTGACAAGACAAAGAGCAGTGGTTTTGAAGTTAGATGGGATATTGGGAAGGAATTTTTGGCTGGCAGGATGGGCAGGCCTGGCACAGGTGCCCAGAGCAGCTGTGGCTGCCCCTGGATCCCTGGCAGTGCCCAAGGCCAGGCTGGAAATTGGGGTTTGGAGCAGCTGGGACAGTGGAAGGTGTCCTTGATCATGGCAGGGGTGGCACTGAGTGGGATTTAAAGTCCCTTCCAAGCGAAACCATTCTGTGATTTTTAAATAAGTCCCAGAATTCCTAATTTCCCTCCCTTCCTCTTCCTCTCTGTCCCTTCCAGATGCAATATTCCTTCATTTACCAAGCCTTACTCGAGTACTACCTCTACGGTGACACGGAGTTGGATGTGGCATCCCTGGAAAAACACCTCCAGACTTCCCACAATGCAGCCCCAAACCTGGTCAAAATAGGCCTGGAAGAGGAATTTAAAGTAAGTGTGGAAATCTTTCCCATAGGATTTCCAAGATGTAAGCCAAGAGGATAAAAGTGTAACCTTAAAGGTGCATAAAAGGGAAGAAGTTGTTTTATTTCGTGGTTGTTATGAATGGGGCTGAACATCCTGTTCCCTAAATTCAGATTTTAATCTAATTCCCTCATTCAGAGCTGTGTCATTCTGTGGCCTTTCCCTAAATGCTTTTTGTTTGTTTATACAAGAAAAGTGGAGTGATTCTCTGGGTGTGGTGCAGGTTGCCAGATCAGATAACGCTGGAAGAGGAAACTGGATTAGGTGCTCTTAATCTGCATCCCAGTGGGATTGTTAACCCCGAGGTGACTGACAGCAGGGAATGAACAGGGCTGGAGAAAAACCTCAAAAAAAACCCCTAATAACCCATTTCTTATCAGTGGAGAAACCCCAGATGAAGAAAAACCCCACTGGCTGTGTGTGATCATTGTTTAAATGGTTTTAGTTCCCTGAGGGAATAGTTAGAATTATTTTATGATTTTCCTTATGGTAAAATATTTCTTTTCTATGTAGTTTAATCTGGGTGTTAGCTGGAGTTATCCCTTTACTTTAAAGGACTAATTGAACCAGAATTTGGGAACTGGGTAAAGAAAATGGTGTAAAAATAAGTTTGATGATAGAGAACAAGTTCCAGAATCAACAGTATTGAGGGAAGGAAGGTTAGATGGGATATTGGGAAGAAATTTTTGGCTGGGAGGGTGGGCAGGCCCTGGCACAGGTGCTGGGGCCCCTCTTTCCTGCGTGCTCAGCCCCTGTGTGCTCTCTGCAGAAGCTGACCAACGTCCGCATCATGAAGGAGAACATGAGGACTGGCAACCTCCCAGCCAACATGAAGAAAGCAAGAGTCATCCAGATCATCCCCTGTAAGAGCCCAGCTTCATCTCCAGAGAAATGCCAGAAATCCCTGCCTGGGAGCACATGCTGCATCTGGCTGCTGGCAGAGCACGGCTCCACTTACAAACTCATCTGTAAAAAATTCAGTGAATTGGGTTTTAATGAATCACCCTAAAAATCTGTTATAATCAGGGATTTTGGATTAAATAACTCAGCAGTTTCACCTGTTAAACCACCCTTTTTCTGTGTGCTTCCATGCAGAGATCAGCTTAGAGCACAGCACAGCTCCACTTACAAACTCATCTGAAAAAGATTCAGTGAATTGTGTTTTACTGAATCACCCTAGAAACCTGTTACAGTCAGGGATTTTGGATTAAATAACTCAGCAGTTTCACCTGTTAAACCACCCCTTTTCTCTGTGATTCCATGCACAGTCTGAGCAGCACTGGAATGTTTGCACCTGAAAATGAACATTTCACAGAAAAGATTGGGTGGGGTTTGTTCTTCCATGTGCAGTTGGCAAAAGTAAGGCTGGCCTCAAAATTAAAACTAGACTGTTTTTAAACTGGACTCAAAACTAAGCCCAGGCTTTTTTTTGTTTGTTTTTCAGATGATTTTAACAGAGTGATTCTGTCCATGAAAAGAGGGCAGGAGTACACAGATTACATCAATGCTTCCTTCATAGATGTAAGTAAACAACATTTTCATGCATTTCCTTTTAAAATCAGAGATTCTGCTGCTGCTGATAGGTCTTTTACAGAGGCACAATCAGCTTGGCTAGCAAAGCACATGAGCTTTGTTTATGGGAGTTTCCAAATGCATTTCTTATCTGGTGTTTTTAATTTCAGTTTAAATGGTTGTGCAATTTGAGCCTTGTATTAGATTTATAAACCAAATCTTTTATTAAATTCTGACCAAACAAATCAGCTGCACAATTACAGCCAGTGATTCCATTATCTGGGTCAGGTTAACAGGTGTAAATGTTTGCTTTTCTGAGAAACAGAAAAGTCAGTGTTGAGCACAGGGAAAAGCTGTGACAGTGTTTGGCAGCCAGGCTTTACTTGAGCAGAGCTGGATGAATTCCAGGCTTTCTTCCCAGCTTCCTGTTGGAAGCTGAGCACTGGTTTGTGTCTTGTTTTTGTTGAAATATGAGAATTAATCGTGTCCTTAGGCAGTAAAACCATGTTAGTGACTGAGGGCTGTGGATTCCATACAGGTCACACCTGCATGGGAATAAGGAGAGGCTGGATGTGGCCCTCAGAGCCTTGGGCTTGGGTCACAGGTTGGACTGGATGGTCTCAGAGGTCTTTCCCAACCTCATTGATTCTGTGAAATAAAGCTGGACCTCAAAACCTGAGGCAGAAGTTCATTCTAGAGAAAGCTGGGAGCTGCTGTTGTGATAATCCTTTTGGAATCTGGTCCTGCAGAATCTCATCCCCTCAGCCATGACTGGAGAAATTCACCTGAGCATTGTGAATTTGGGGGAGATTTTAGAACCACAGAATCGCTGAGGTCGGAAAAGCTCCCTCAGACCATCGAGTCCAACCACCCCCAGCACTGCCAAGGCCGCCACTGCCCCGTGTCCCCAAGTGCCACCTCCATGTGCCTCTAAATCCCTCCAGGGGCACTGCCAGCACGTTCTGTGGGGAAATTTCCCCTAATGCCCAACTTCCACCTTCCCTGGTGCAGCCTGAGGCTGTTCCCTGGAGGAGAAGCCCCTGTCTCAGCCGTGATGTCCCCTGAGTGTTGGAACTCAAAATGTCCCTCAGACATTTTTGGAGGTTCTGGGCCCAGGTCAGAAGCATTTGAGACCCTGGCAGGCAGCTGGAAACAGCTGTGATTTTGGGTTTGAGCCATGGAATGATTTACCAACCTTGCAGGAAGAACAAGAAGTCACAAAAGTTTAGATATTATAGTAGAAGTAGTCACAAAGCAGAGGGAAGAATTTTTGAGCTGTACAGGGGGGTTTTGGTTTTGTACATGGGGGTCAGAAGTTTTGAGATTGAGGGATTTGGGCCTGTCCTGCCTCTTTCTTCTTCCTTACCTCCATGTTCTTGGTGATGTTGGCACTCCCAGATTGGTTTAGAGTAGAAAGGCACCATTTAATATAGGTAATAGGCATTGGGGAAAAACTGTACCCATGTAACACGTAATGTACCATATAAAAGATAGAAAAGCACCATTTAATATAGGTAATAGGCACTGGGGAAAAACTGTACCCATGTAACACGTAATGTACCATATAAAAGACAGCAGCAGCCCTGGGCAGAGGGGGAGAGAAGAAGCAGTCGGGAGTCAGAGAGGATGTCAGGGTGTGTGTGTGCCTCTGCCTGAGCTCTGAGCAAACCACAGCAGCCCCAGAAGAAAATCTTTTAGACAACTTGCAATAAACTGCCTTGAGACCAAACAACAGAGACTGCTGAGCCTTTCTTTGGAAGCACGGCTTGGAGGAGGGATTTTTCACCACATGGAGCCACCCCTGACCCAGGGTGAGCCCGGCACCTGAGCACCCCCTGTCCCCTCCCCAGGGTGACCCCCTCTCTCCCCGCAGGGCTATCGGCAGAAGGATTATTTCATCGCCACCCAGGGCCCCCTCCCTCACACGGTGGAGGATTTCTGGAGGATGGTGTGGGAGTGGAAGTGCCACACCATCGTGATGCTCACCGAGGTCCAGGAGAGGGAGCAGGTAGGTGGGAAATGGATTTGGAGAGAACTCTCAAAGCCTGGCAGAAGGCTCCACACAGTGTGCAAACCTTGAGATAAATGCTGCTTAGAAATGCTAAGTGGAATAGAATTGGCATTGTTGAGAGAGAAATGGAGCTGGAAATGAGTTTCAAAGGGTGGCCTTGCAAATAAGACTGGATATTTTGGAGAAATAAAACTGTGAAAGATGCATTGTAGTAGGAGCCAGTGTCATAGTTGAGATGGAGACTATCCAAAGCAGCACAGTCCATTTTCAGAAGGCTTCAAACCTGTGTTTATTATAGCATGGATGCTTTTTATACATTCTTACAAAACTCATCAGGAGTTTTATGTACTCTTACAGGAGTTTTTATACATTCTTACAAAATTAATCAGTGGTCAGGAAAGACAAAGTGCTCATTGGAATAGACATTTGGAGTTTCTCTTATTTATCCTTCTTTCTTTCTTTGTTTTTATGTCAATGACTTTGGTAGAAAATTCTTTGAGGGGTACACAAGGATCAAACTTTCTCTGGCTCACAGAAGTCGCAGTAAAACCTCTTCCACAGCCCAAGAGGGGTAATTTTAGATTGGCTTTAAGGCATTTACAGAAAAGCTGATAGGTCAAGAAAGCCTCATAATGAATTGTAATTAGGAAATTGCTTCTGATTGTGGTGGTATGAATGATAACATCTGTATTATCTCACCCTCCACACAAGACTGAAAATGGAATAAAAGGTTTCAAAAGTTGCCCCAAGTCTGGGTCAGAAAAGGGCCTGATCTGACACGTGCCCACCCTGCAGCCCCACACTTCCCCTTCCCACCTCCAAACCACGAGCATCAATACTGGAGAAACTATTTTTATTTTTTGCCTAAAAATTCCAGCAGTCTGAGGGTTTTTTTTGGCTTTTCCTAAAACGAGCACTTGCTTCACTCTTTGGTATGAGGCAGTGTTGCTGCTTTTCTGGAATTGTCAGGAAACACAAAAAAACTGCAGAATATTGTGATTTTTGAAAGCTTCCAGTTTGAATCAAGAGATGCCTGACACGAGACAGAGTTTTGGGATTTGGGAACAAACTTTTGTGTAGACTTTTATCTTATTTATCCCAGTAATAGCTCCTGTTGCTCATTCTGAGCCTGCTCTGATTTGATTAAAATACAATAATTAGTTCCTTATTTGATTTAAATATGAGATTTAATGTCATTAATTAATTAAAGAGTCCTGTGCTGCAGCTTGAAAATTCTGGGTTCAGCAAGGGTGTTGTGAAAAGCTTTTTCTTGGTGGTTTTGGAAGGTTTTAAACAACATTATCGTGCTTTCAGGAATTCTTTTTATTATTCTACACTGTTTTAAAGCAATATTTGCTATCTGGGCCTCCTGAGCCCTTTTCATCATGATGGTTTCTATTCGAGAAATATTTTATCACTGTACTCTTAGTGCTTAGAACACACTTATTATGCTGGATGTCACTTCTTATGCCAGAGATTCATGACAATGTAGATAAGTGCGGAAAATAAATCAAGGAATATTTGGAATTCTCTGGATTCTGCAGGAAAAGTGCTGCCAGTACTGGCCGTCAGAGGGCTCTGTGACTCACGGAGAGATCACGGTGGAAATCAAGAGTGACAGCCTGATGGATGCCTTCAGTGTGAGGGACTTCCTGGTCACATATAATCCGGTAATTCTTTACAATTCCAGCGGTTTGGGTTTTTTTTTTTCACCATCAGAAGGCATTTACAAATCTGGTTATGTATCTTAAATTCTGGGATTTCTGTCTGAACTTAAATGTGGTTAATCAAAAGCTGACGTTAAGAGGAAGTTTATATGAAATATGAAAATTTTGATCAGTAGAACAGATGATTGGAATATGGGGGGTGGGTTTTGGGGTTTTTGTAACTGTTTTGTTGTTGCTGTTATTCCTAGATTTTACTGCCATCTCCCACATAGGTATCATAAAGAAAATTTGATTCAAGATTTTTCACAAAATTTGGGTTTGGGTTGGAAGGAACTTTAAAACTCAACTCACTCCACCCCCTGCCATGGGCAGGGACACCTCCCGTGATTCCAGGTTTTTCCAAGCCCTGTCCAGCCTGGCCTTGGGCACTTCCAGTGTATCTTAACTCCTTCCCAGAGGAAACAGTTGTGCAAATCAAAGGAAAATTGTAGTGGGAAATTACCAGTGGGTGGGGGATTTAGAAACAGAGCTGCCAGGATAGAATCCTGGAATATCACTGGAAATAAAATCACCAGGGCCCTTACTGTGGTTGCAAATACTCTCCTGTAGCAGCACAAAATCGCTGCTGCAATGTTCCAGGCAGGAATTGTGTTTCCACCTGGGAGAAACAAGTGGCTGAAGGATGTTTTCCTGCTGGCAGAGCAACCAGGAGAAGCAGAGCAGGCTGGTCAGGCAGTTCCACTTCCACGGGTGGCCGGAGATCGGGATTCCTGCCGAGGGGAAGGGCATGATCGACCTCATTGCAGCTGTGCAGAAGCAGCAGCAGCAGACAGGGAACCACCCCATCACTGTGCACTGCAGGTGAGCCCCTCTGCACCTCAGCCCGGCTCCTCTGTGCCCCTGGCATTCCTCTTTTATGGGGATTTTTGGAGGAATTTCGGATGAGTTAGAGGCAGGACCTCTGAGCTTTTTAGGTGATGCCATTTATTTTTCCTGTCTTCTACACAGGCAGGAAGGTGAGTTTGGCTCACATCTTCGCTGCATGGTTCAAAAGATCACGAGACCCTTAGTTACAAGACCTTTTGAATGATTTATTGACCAATAAAATAAAGGATATTTATGTTTTTGACCCAATCCTTAAATATTTTGTGTTATGGACCCGTGCTACACTGTCGGATTTCTTAGCCAATCATGTTCACGTACAGTACTTCATTCTACGTGTTTACCTCTGTAATTACTTTTATATTTTCTATTTCTTAAACTCTAAAACTCTTAACTTTACTTAGTTTAATGTGTCTCTGCTTCAAACTATAAATCCACATTCTCACTTCCAGCACCTGTGTTTGGAAGCCTTTTCCAAGCTCTCAGATCAAATCCTGTGTTTAATCCTAAGCTTTGGCTTACAGGCCCAAAGTTACGAGAATTCCTTGCATTTCAGATTCCAACGCTCTTTTCCCATTTTTATCCCAGTTCATGCCCAAAAAAAACCCAAAATGTGTTTTCATTGCAGTGCTGGAGCAGGGAGAACAGGAACCTTCATTGCCCTGAGCAACATCCTGGAACGGGTGAAGGCTGAGGGGCTCCTGGACGTGTTCCAGGCTGTGAAGAGCTTGAGGCTGCAGAGGCCACACATGGTGCAGACACTGGTATGGGATTTTCCAGCACTTTGGAAGGGAATTCTGTGGGTAAATATCCTTGGGAGAGGAAAATAAAAGGGTTTTTTGCAGGTTGGCTAAATGATGCATGGTGGATGTGTGTGTACGAGGCATAATGAGGGTTTTACAGGGGGTTTTAGGGCATGTCTGAAAATGCAATTTGGTTCAATATTCTCTGTCTTTAGGAACCTGAGGCAGTGAAACTAAATGTATTTTGGGTGTTGCAGGTGATAAAATATATTAAGTAAATGGATTTCAAGCTATTTATCAGTTGTTCTTTCTTACCTCAAAGTGTTTGGGCATAAATTGGAATCCCAAAATGGTTTGGGTTGGAAGGGACCTTAAAGCTCATCCCATTCCCACCCCTGTCATGGGCAGGGAAACCTTCCACCATCCCAGGCTGCTCCAAGCCCCATCCAGCCTGACCCTGGACACTCCCAGGGATGTAGAAATCCTTGGGAAATGTCTCTGACTTGTTTGAAATCTTTAAGGTTTTCCTTTAAGTCATCTACAACTACTATTTGAAGCTTAGTCCAGATGCTTTTCCCTATTGAGTAACCATTAAAAAAGTTTTTTGAGACTTTTCTGGACTTGAAAATACATAAAAATGTTGATATTTTTGATTTCCATAGCAGCTTACATTCAGCAATCTGAAACCTCTTTAGAAACAATTGTCTCAAACCCTTTTTCTGGGGAGATGTTTTCTCCATCCCACAGATAGGATGAAAGGGGATGAAAAAATGGATTATCCATGCTCAGGCTGAGAGAGGGATGGGTGGGATATTGGGAAGGAATTCCTCCCTGGGAGAGTGGGGAGGAGCTGGGATGGAATTCCAGAGAAGCTGTGGAGTTTCCTTCCACAGCTGCTGAAGGAAAGTGATGCTTTATCAATAATCTAAATTTGGGGTTTCCCACATCCCTCACTGGTTCTGTCAGGCAGCTATCCAGAATGAGAAGAACTGACTTGAAATTAATTCTTAGGCTCTAGAACAAGCATGATTATCATGTTTTATGTTATTTGCTAAAGAAATCCTTCCCCAGACACTGGGCTTGGAGCACTTGGGACAGTGGGAGGTGTCCCTGCCATGGCTGGGGTGGCACTGGGTGGGATTTAAGGTCCCTTCCAACCCAAACCATTCTGGGATTTTCTGATTCCCCCATTATCCCTGGGCACTGCTCAGGAGTTTCTGCTGTCAGCAGCTGGGCTTAAATCCAAAGCCAGGCCTAAGAACTGATTCAGTTTAAGAAGCACCTCTGAAAAAGCTCAAGCAATCATTTTAACCAAAGAGCAAGGATCAGCCTGTGTCTGACCAAAGAAAGAGGAACCACTGCTTTTATTTCAAATACCAACCAGAAATCAGAGCAGACCAGTCCTCAGCTACTGCTCCCAGTTAGGACATGCTGAATTTACCGCTGGGATTTGCAGAATTCAGATTTTCTTAGTGTAACCAAAAGCACTTTTTGATCTTTTTTCCTTGTTTTCCAGGAACAGTATGAATTCTGCTACAGAGTGGTACAAGATTTCATCGACATCTTTTCAGATTATGCTAATTTCAAATGAGAATTCTGCCTTATTTTTTAATTTGTCTGTATAAATAGTTGTATATTATGTTAATTTATTCCGTGTCACTTGGGTTGTTGACTGAACTGTAAATACATTGTTGTGCTGGCTCTAAAAGTTGCATTTGCTGTATAAAGTTGTTTCTTAAATATAAATATCTTCTAAAGCAAAGTATAATGTTCTTATACTGTATAGCACTGTAAGATGGGATAGAAATCTTTATTCTAAATAACAAAAAATTAATTCTTGGATTTTTTTTTTTCCTTTTAGTTTTGCCACTTACAAATATTTATCAACAACGTTATCTCTCAGTTCTTGTATTTTTTGACAGGTGATTTACAGTTCATCCTAAAAAAAAGTGAATTTGGGTGCACATGTTTGAACATGTTTTGCTCACCAGGGGAATATGTTCACCATGAAAATAGATATTTATTTTCCCAGGCTGTTTTAAAGAACCTCCAGGTTTTGTTGGATTTTGAGTCATACTGTCCACAGGAAAAAATCAGTAGAAATACTGATTTGAATTTTTGAATTAACAGAACTTTCAAAGCCCTGTTCATTTGGGTTTTTTTTTTCCAAATATTATTTAAGTTGACTTAGAAAGGCAATAATGTGATTTTTAGAATATTTTGCGTATTTGAAAAGTATATTTTGCAGCCCCTGAACTTGTCTACTTGAAGAGAAAGGCCAGAAATGGAGTTAAAAGCATCTCTTCTCTATAAACACCTGCATAATTTCCCTTCTTTAAAATAAGAGATGAACTCTTATTCCTTGATTTGACTCAGCAGGATAATTAAGAGGTAAATATTGGAAAAAAAACATTTTATGAAGGTTTAATGCCTGAAGCATTGGGTATTGTAGCAAAAGTTCCTCCAGGTCCTTATCTTCCCAGAAATGTTGTCAAAAAAGGACTTTAAGGGGTTTAGGGTTGTGTACAGAGATATATTTTTTTTTAAGTACTACTGAGAATAGAATTGGTGACAGAAAATTTAAAAGTTTTTATTACAGCCCTGATCAGGGGCTGGGAAATCCCCAAAATCACAGGGTACCCGAATGTTGAATAATTTTACTAAATTTATCTTTCCCACTCTTCCAAAAGTATTCTCTGACTGAATGAGCACGAAGGGGTGAATCTGGAATTAATGAAATAACAGATATGCAACATTTCTGTCTCGTCCAGCCGGGCTTTGGCCATGCAGCACCAAAGCCTTATTTCAAACAAGCAGCTTAAAATGAGCTTTTCCCTGCTGTTCTTGCACTATTTTATCCCATTCCAGTAGAATCTCATTGCACCTTGGAGCAATGCAAGGGGATGGGAAGGTGGCCCTCGGTCTCCTTCCATTCCAGCCTGGCTGGAAAAGGTTTGGGATGGGAATTCCTGAGCCCCAACCCCCACAGTGCCACTGGCTGTTCTTGTCTTCCCATTGCTGCACTCCTGTATTTATTTGTACAGTAAATGATGCACTTAAAAAATGAGATTGTTTAAAGAGTAAACCTCGCTCGTGAGTCTCTATGAGAAGAAACTCTCAAGCCACAGGGTTGGGTACTGAAAGTGGAGCTGAGGAAGGGCATGTTCCTGAAATTCCATCCAAATGCAAAGACCCGGAATAAATTTGGCCTGGAAATGATACAGTGGGGTTCTTTCAGACCATTTGGCCCACATTTGAGTAATAATTTGTAAGAATTTTGGGTCCCTGATGTAAAAACTTGGGTTGAGTTGTCCATGAAGTCAGTCTCAGTGCAGGGAGACTCCAAAAGGTTGGAAAACAATGCAAAATAATTCCCATTTTTTGATCCTGATATCAGGGTCTTTCCAATCATTTAGCCATCATTTGAATAATAATAATAATAATTTGTCTGTTAGGCAGATTTTGTGGGTCCCTGAGGTAAAAAGTGAGTTTGAGTTGTCTCATGAGGTCAGTCTCAGTGCAGGGAGACTGAACAATTGGAAAATGATGCAGAGGAATTCCCACTGTATGATCCTGATGTCAGGGTCTTTCCAACCATTTAGGGGGCATTATAATAATAATACTAATTTTTCTGTTGGGCAGATTTTTGGGTCCCTGTGGTAAAAACTGGGGTTGTCTCCTGAAGTCAATCTCAGTGCAGGGAGACACCAAAAGTTTGGAAAAGAAAGAAATTCCCATGTATGATCCTGATGTCAGGATCTTTTCTGACCCTTTAGCCAGCATTTGAACAAGAAGAATTTGTGTGTTGGGCAGGTTTTGGGGGCCCTGAGGTAGAACCTCGGGTTGAGTTGGCCACGAGGTCGATCTCAGTGCAGCAGAGGTGGGGTGTGAGGGTGTGGGGGTCCCACAGCCCCCCAGGAGCTGCAGCACAACTCCATGGGGTTCCCTAAAGGCCTCCTTCCAACCAGGAGCAGGATGGAGTTCAGCTGGAACGCCAACTCCTCGGTGGGTACTCAGATTTTAGTTGATAACCAGATTGAGATACGGAGGAGGGAAGAGAAATGCCCAAAATAGAATTCAGAACTCCCAGCTGTAGGTTCTTGTGGAATTTGAAGAGCTCCCTTGGCAGTCGATGGCTGGAGATCTGGGAAGGTCTTGGTGGATTGGAATTTTCCTTCAAATCTCCATCTGTTGCGTGGAATTCCTTTAAAAGGCCAAATAGTTGGATTGGAATGTCCTTCTGGTCCGCCTGTGGTTTTGGTCACTGTGTGACTTGGACTGTTGATGTGTTCAGAAGGTCCCAGCTCAGCTCAGCCTTGAGGCGTTCGCTTCCCAAAATCCATGAATGCCATGGACTCCCTGTCCCAAAACAATCCCTTAGAAGTGCTTGGCTGACTTGGGCCTTAATGAAGAATGCATACTGTAATTAGCAGTGTTTTTTAGGCTATTTTTATGTATTTTTTAAACTTTTAAAATGAGCCTGCCCACCTCGTGTTCAGTCTTTTGAAATGTTTGCGTTTCCCTCGTTCCATTTTTCATGTAAAGTTACTGGAACTTTTCTGTATAACCAAAATGTATTTAATTTGTCAAATCTTTATAATATATGTATGTATTATACAGTTTCAGCTCTTATTATTTTCTTTTCTTATGTTTCTAATTTGATCTTGCTGTGTTTTTAATGCCAGTGAATGTGGCTGAATTATTTGTATATGCAAATTGCAAGATCTAATACATTCTGATGCAAGAACAAAGCTTCCTTTTTATTCTCCACCTGCTTTATTTCCTTTAAATCTTTTAATTTCATTCCTGTGTTGTGTGTTCATTTGAATTAAGCATTCTAAAAGAGTTGAAATCCATTATCTAGGTAAGTAATTTTTCAGTGCTAATCTGAAGCTGTTTGGGAGTAAAATTCTGATTTATTTTGGGACTGAACACTAAATATAAAGGGTGTGGAAACTCACGGAAGCAGTTGGAATCCAGGTCGTCCCAAACTTTCTGGATAAGTAAGATCTGATGAAATAAATATAGTAAAATTAAGTAAATTCAGTAAAATAATCCTGTAGTAAACTGTGATGTGATATCAAGATAAAAATAGGATCTAAACTTCCAGCTGTGTCACCAATCATGAATTGAAAGTTCACTCTAATTAACAGCAGTTTTTTTAATTCATTTTGACAAGTTTTGCATTGGACATAGAACTAAAATGAACCCAGAAGGCCCTGCTGTGGTGTTGGTGTAAAGCAGGAGTAACTGCTCAGGGGTTCCATGCTGATGTCAAATCAAACAGGGTTTCATGAAGCTGATTTCTGTTTGATCCTTTTCTGTTTCCCCTGGTCCACCCCACACCTCCCATTTGGGAGATGCCTCTTCAGGGTAGGTAATTTTAGGAATTTTTTTTTTCCATGGTTGTTGGGAAGAACTTTTCTGCATGTCCTTCCTGGGCATTGTTCTAATATTGGCATGATGAGTGGAAATGGTTTCAAATTGTGCCAGGGGAGGTTTGGAAATTAAATTTTTTTTCCTAGAAAGGGTTTTAAAGTGTTGGTAAAATACCTGGGACAGTGGTGGAGTCCCCATCCTTGGAAGTGTTCAAAAAAAGTGTGGGTGTGGCATGGAGGACATGGGTTAGTGGGGAACTGGTTGGTTGGATTTGATGATCTTTTCCAAACTTAACAAATCTGATTCTAATCTGCCATTGCATGTAAAAGCTGTTAATTTTTTTAATTATTCCAGAGGAGTTGATAAAATATTTTGTGTGATTGGGTGATGTACTTTCATGCAGTTTGTGTGACCACTGGGTGGTAACTGTGTGTGAGGACAGGCAGGTGCCTTGGTGTGGTCTCAGAAAACAGAAGAATCTCAAATATTTATCAGTTATTAATTAATTGTTGGTTAATTTAAATAAATAGTGATAATTGTAATTGTTGATGACACAGCAAACATGGGTATTTCTGTACCCTGATGGTGATACAGTTGGCTTTTTACTTTTAAGGTTTTTTCCTTTTTTTACTTTTAATCATTACAAAAAAGATACCATAAAGACCTTCTGGTTCCTTATCTGGCTCTGTTTTTAGAAACACAACTTTTAGAAAAAAAATACACTTTATTTGTAAACTGTCCATGAAATATATTTATTCTAATAGGATATTTAAACAGTATAAAGTAAAGCAGATCAAAGAGGTGTTTGCTCTGCACAAATGTCAAGCTCTGTTTTTTTGCCTGATGCAGAAATTGTTGAATTGAGAATTTTCCGGGCCATTGAACTTCCCGGGGAGTGTTCTTCATCTGAGGAATTAAAGGATTAGGATGTAATTTAGATCTTTTGGTGAGAGCTTCCTTCTATAATGACTTTTATCCATTTTCTGTGCTGCTTTGCACAGATGAGGGGAATTACTCAGTCATTATCGAATTGACACCTTGCCAAGGAAGTTCTTTGTGCAAAGAATCCTTTTCACCTGTTTCCATTGCATTTTCCTGAATTTTCCTGAAATCCAAATATCCATAAACACGGAACAGAAGATCCAGGCTGGGACTTGTCACCAGCTGGGTGGACAAAAAGCAAGGAAAACTCTCCCAGGTGGGAAGAGCTTGAGGAGGAATTACTGAGTGTGGGATTTTCTAGTTGGGGTTTTTATAGAAATTTGTCCTTCCAAAACCTGAAGGGAAACTATAGAAAAGATGGTGAGGGAATGTTTATGAGAGCGTGGAGTGCCAGGAAAAGTTGGGATATTGGGAAGGAATTTTTGGCTGGGAGAGTGGGGAGGCCCCTGGATCCAGGTAGTGCCCAAAGCCAGGTTGGACATTGGGGCTTGGAGCAGCCTGGGACAATGGAAGGTGGATCTGGATGAGCTTTAAGGTCCCAACAACCCAAACCATTCCATGATTTTATGATTCATGTGGCAGCCTGGGGATGGAGCAGAGGCTGTTTCCAAGGAAGCAGCCCATGGAATTGCTCAACCATGTTTGGAAGTGTGCATGGCAGTTACGGAACTCTGGAATTGCATAGACGTTGAGTTAATTTCATGGAAATTATGGAACTCTGGAATTTCATAGAGGTTGAGTTAATTTCATGGAAATTATGGAACTCTGGAATTTCACAGAGGTTGAGTTAATTTCATGGAAATTATGGAACTCCAGAATTTCATAGAGGTTGAGTAAATTTCATGGAAATTATGGAACTCTGGAATTTCATAGATGTTGAGTTAATTTCATGGAAAATATGGAACTCTGGAATTTCATAGAAGTTGAGTTAATTTGCTGAATCCTGGGGAATCTCACCCAGTCCAAATTTCTAACTCAGCTGTGCAAAAGGACTGGCTGGGAGATGCAAAATCCCTTTTAGGGGATTTTAACCTTTGGGATTAAAATGATCTGCTGAAGGTGATGGCAACATTTCCTGGGTTAAGGATTTCATTCCCAGATGGGGCACGGGGTGGGATTGCTGGGGTCAGGAGTTGGATTCCGTCATCCTTGGGGGTGGCTTTGTCATCTTTTGGAACTGGCAAGTCTGTCACGCAGACCTAGAACACGGTGCAAAGTTTTAATTTGTGTTTTAAACCTATATTTAAATATATTTAATATTTAAACCTATATTTAAACATATTTCAGTGGGACTGTTGGAATCTGAAATGCAGGGAACTCTCAGAACTCTGGGCCTGGAAGCCAAAGCTTAGAATTAAACACAGGATTTGATCTTAGTGCTTGGAAAAGGCTTCCAAACCCAGGTGCTGGAAGGGAGAATGTGGATTTATAGTTTAAAGCACAGACACGTTAAACTAAATAAAAGAAAGTTTAGAGTTTTAGAGTTTAAGATATAGAAAAAATAAAACTAGCTACAAAAGTAAACAAAAATATTAAAATGCAGTACTATATTTGTGTGTCATAACATAACTAAAAAAAGTTACACTGTAACATGAATCTATAAACCAAAATATTTAAAAATTAAGTTAAAACCATAACCTTGTTAACTGTTTTATTAGTCAATAACTCTTCAAAAAGTTTTATAACTAGGAGTCTAATAACCTTCTAAACCATACTATAACACTATAAACCAAACTCGCCCTTCCTACCGCTATAAAAAATAAAGGAAAATAAACCACATCATCTAAAAAAGTCAAAAGTCCCATCTCTAACTTTCAAAAATTCTTCAAAAATAATTCTTTCAAAAATCCCCACAGGGACATTGTGGTTTTGGCTCCCCAGTCATCTTCCCTGGCTTTGAAGGACAATTGGAAAACTCCTTTTCCAGATTAATTTGAATTACTTGAAATACAGATTTGATTTAAAAATATCAGTGAGTCAAACATATTAAAAAGGTTTTCTCTTAATGTTCTCTCATTTAATTTAAGGTAAATTAATATTTCAAAATATTCAATAAAACTTGGAATATCCCATTTGTTCCTAAATTTATGCAGATTCCTCCCACATAAAATCCTTTGTCAAAATCGGGTACTGTGCATAAATACCAGCACTCCTGAGTAAATAATGAAGAATTATTTATTATTTAGTAAATAATTTAGTAAAAAATATTATCTTAGTAAAAAAATATTATTAAAATTATTATTATTTAGTAAAAAATCCTGGGTGCAAAAATGTGTCAGTGAAATAAACTATGATTTTTAAAGGGAAATTTGTTGCAAAACTTGAAATTTTCAGGGTTATTTATATGACTTCTCCTCCCTGGACTTGGCTTTACACAGTGTGAATAGCCTGAATATTTATTTACTTTATGCCTTATAAATGCCCTAATTTAGGGAAAGCTTTCACCAGAATTTGTGCTTTTTCAAGTAAAAACCACTGATGGTAAAATCTGTGAGAAACCGGCTTCATTCAGTGCCTCCAAACCACTCCAAACTTGAATAAATAAATCACTCTGTATGAGGATCCTCATCTGATAAATTAAAATGCTGATTTTTTAATGCTGGTTTCTTCATTCTCTATCAAGGAGCTTCAAGCACTGACTTTATTTTTCTCCTCATTTTTGACAGTTAACAGTTTTACCTCACAGTGGATTCAGGTGTATTTGTCTTAATTTCATGTTCCCAAATTAACCTACCAGCAAATTTAAACATTGAAGAAAATGTCTTTTTTTTGTTTTTTTCCCTCCTGTAAATCTACTTTGGCAAATATTTGTACAGATGCTGCTCTTGGAGACATTGAAAACCTTTGCAATAATTTGTGTTTTCCTCTAAATATTGCACATCACAAAAGCTGGGGCACCACTGTAAATCATGCCAGAAAATACAATTATTGCCACAGTGCAGGTGTATTTATTTATTCATGCTGTTTGATCACATGTGGGCTGACAGAGGCTGCAATAAATTCAATTTCTTAAGAGTTTTTCTGCTGTAAATTGTTTGTTTCAGATGTATCATTCAGGACCCACAGGAAGGATTTTTTTAATGCCTGTTAATTGGCAGTGATACCCAATTAGATACCAAACAGAATCCTGATTTTGGTATGGTTTACATCTAATTTAAAGATTGTCCAGTAGCACACAGCTATTGTAAATTAATAATAATAATAATAATAATCATCATCTGAATTAAAGGCCCACCAAAGCTTACAAAATAGACTTAAAAGTCATTTATTTGAAAAAAACAACATTTAAAAAGCTGCTTACATCTAACTGTATCCCATCTAAAGTCATCACAGCACATAAAATAGACTTTGAGGCAAGCTAGATAATAAAATAGGAGTAAAATCAAAAGTCCTGCTTTGTAAAAGATCTGAATAGTAGAATTTTATCCCCTGAAGCACAAAAGGCTGGATGATTTTGTCCTCTGTCCCCTTCCCAAGCATCAAACTTGGAAGGAATGTCACATTTCAGATCTCAAGAATGTGGTGTTGTTGTTATTTTTATTAATATTGTTATTTTTTTCTTCTGCCTTCAATCACAGACCAACACAGTATTCATGTTAATTCTTGGCCTCACAGATCCTCAAATTCCAGTCTAAGTAACAAATTCCTGTTTGGGACCAGAGATGGAGATCAGCTTTATATCTAAATTAAGGTAACTAATTTGCTGATTAAAATGGACTTAAAATATTAATTTAACTTTTACTGCTCACCCTCCCATCCTCCCTTTATTTTTCTCCCCCTTACTGTGGTGGTTAATACCATTTTTGTGGCTAGTAGTATTTTAATCTGTTTAAACACAGATGCTGAGATCACTTCATAAAGCCTAAGTGAAGCTGAGTTGATAGAAAGTAAATCTATTTTGCTGATCTGGAGCTGCAAATTTGGGATCACTGAGCTCCCTGCAAGTCCCCCTCCCTCAGAGGGGGGCTCGATAAGGCTGGACAGGCTCAGGTTTGGGAACAGGTTTAGGTTTGGGAACAGGTTCAGGTTTAGGTTTAGGTTTGGGAACAGGTTCAGGTTTAGGTTTAGGTTTGGGAACAGGTTCAGGTTTAGGTTTGGGAACAGGTTTAAGTTCAGGTTTGGGAACAGGTTCAGGTTTAGGTTTGGGAATAGGTTTAAGTTTAGGTTTGGGAACAGGTTCAGGTTTAGGTTCAGGTTTGGGAACAGGTTCAGGTTTAGGTTCAGATACACATCTAGATAAAGGTTCAGGTGCAGATTCAGGTACAGGTGTAGGTAGAGTTTCATGTACAGATTGAGACAAAGGTACAGCACAGATTCATGTACAGCTTCATGAACAGGTTCAAATTCAGGTACAGGCTGAGATTCAGGTACCGGCTCAGATTCAGGTACAGGCTCAGATTCAGGTACAGGCTCAGAGGTGCAGGTTCAGGCACAGGTAGAATTTAATGTACAGATACAAGCAGAGGTACAAGCACAGGCTTGATCACTGGTACGGGTTCAGGAAAATGGTCAGGTTGGGGCACAGATACAGGTTCAGGACAAGGCACAGGTACAGTGCCAGCCCCAGGTACAAGCCCGGAGCGGTGCCAGGTACAGCTCCAGCCCCAGGTACAAGCCCGGAGCGGTGCCAGGTACAGCTCCAGCCCCAGGTAAAGCCCGGAGCGGTGCCAGGTACAGAACCAGCCCCAGGTACAAGCCCGGAGCGGTGCCAGGTACAGCTCCAGCCCCAGGTAAAGCCCGGAGCGGTGCCAGGTACAGAACCAGCCCCAGGGAAAAGCCGGGAGCGGTGCCAGGTACAGAGCCAGCCCCAGGTACAAGCCCGGAGCGGTGCCAGGTTCAGAACCAGTCCCAGGTAAAGCCCGGAGCGGTGCCAGGTACAGCTCCAGCCCCAGGTACAAGCCCGGAGCGGTGCCAGGTACAGCTCCAGCCCCAGGTACAAGCCCGGAGCGGTGCCGGGTACAGCTCCAGCCCCAGGTACAAGCCCGGAGCGGTGCCAGGTACAGCTCCAGCCCCGGGTACAAGCCCGGAGCGGTGCCAGGTACAGAGCCAGCCCCAGGTACAAGCCCGGAGCGGTGCCAGGTACAGCTCCAGCCCCAGGTACAATCCCGGAGCGGTGCCAGGTACAGAACCAGCCCCAGGTAAAGCCCGGAGCGGTGCCAGGTACAGAACCAGCCCCAGGTAAAGCCCGGAGCGGTGCCGGTCCGTGCCCGGGCCCGTCCCGCCGTGAGGGACGCGCCGCTCCCGCCGCGGCTCGCGGGCAGCGCCTGAGGCGCGAGCGGCTCGGCGGGGCGGTGCCTCCGTTTGAACTCAAACCGCCCTCGCCGCTCCCCATTGGCTGCGCTGCGCGTCGCGCGCCGCCCCCTCCGCCAATCAGAGGCCGCCGCGCTCCTTTTCGAATGCTCAACGGTCAGCGCGCTGCGTTCGTTTCTGCTTCCGCCGACCCGGAACGGGATGAAGCTAAAATAGTCCCTCTGCCGGCGCCGCCTGTGGCGGCCCGTTGGCTCGGTGCTGTCTCACCGCGTGGCTGCTGCCGGCAGGCGCGGGCGGTGGCGGCCGCTCCCGGTCCATCTATCTGCGCTGTTCGCGGGGGCTCCGTTTTGGTGCCTGGCGGAGAGATACACCGGGGGGGTGCGCGGTGCGAGGGCACGGGGGCCGGCGCGCGCGCGCGGGAAGCGCTCAGTCGGCGCCGCGCCGGGCCGGGAGCGCGGGGGGCGCGCTCGGACGCCGCCACACGGGGCCCCTCAGCGGCCGCCAGCGCCTCGGCAGACCCAGGTACGGGCGGGCCGGCGGGGAGGGGGGAGTAAAGCCGTGGGGACGCGACTTTGGGGTGCTGCGAGGAGGACTTGGGCAGCCTGACACCCCGCTTTGGTGGCTCTACCCCCCTGCCATGGTGGTTGTTGCGCCCTTCTCCCCCGGTGTTTACTTGTGCTGGCCCCGCCGGTGGCTGTGACCACATTCAGGGCAGATTTATAAACTTGTTTCTGAAACTGTTGTGGCTTTTTTGGCTTGTGGGAGCTGCCCTGGGCAGGACACCGAGTGTTTGCGTGCCCTAAACCCTGAGGGACTGCCGGGATCCCCTCCAAGTTGTGTTTTGTCGTCACCAAGTGTTTCATCATGTGAATCCCACCCAAAAATTCCATGAGAGCCTCTCTTAACTGCGTTTAATTGCCTTGTTTTACCTTGCTGCTTTCAAACAGCGTTAATAAAGATGGTTCTCTGAGGATCGCTTGTGGTAGTGGTATTTATACATGATTTCCATTATATGGAAAGATATGAAAGGGTCTCTTTTTTGCTGTTCCTCCTTCTGTCGTGCCCAAATTCCAGCCCCTTCCCAGCCATTCCTGCTGCTGCTTCTGGCAGCTGGTGCCACTCTCCCCTCCTTTTCCAGGAGGATATAACTGCAGCCAGGTCTCTATTTTAAATTCAAATCTGATAATTTCTGTTTGGGTAAGGGATTGAAAGATTTAGGTGAAGATGAGTGAGTTTTTAAGTGGTTTATGGGACAAAATCTGTGTTACTCCTGAGCCTTTATAAAGTTATGATGGGTTACAAAAACCTGAATACCAAAATTAGTCTGACAATTCATGTAAACACAATCCTTGCTTTTTACACGGTGAATACGTATAAACAGCACTGAGATTCTTCTGCTGTCCACTGGAAAATATCTCATCTCTGGAATAAAATAAAGCATAAAAATTTACATACATTCCATTTACTCTCATAAACGCGTAAATCATAATTAGCATGAGTAATCTGAGTGTTTTTTATAGGTAAGATTCCTTACATTTGAAGATGCCACGCTACGGGACAATCGTTGTCATTAAAAGGAATGGGACTGATGGAATTGTTTTTCCACTTACCTCAACGTCTTGTTTATTTGGAAGGTGAGAATTTGTTTGCATACATTGAAATAATGAGTGTTTTCCTGCAGATCATGTCTTTTAATGCTTATTTACAAAAATGAATGTGTATTTAGGAATGGTGTGCAGAGGAGGGAAGGTGACACTGGACTAAGGTTAATGTAAGAGTAGAAAGTTGAACTTTATTTTATTACTGCTTTTTGTCCTTTCCTTGCCAGAACTACTTTGCTTGACTGTTTTTAAGTTTCTGGCCACAGCAAATCAGGGGAAGGGATAAAAAGTGGTAAGACCAACAGCAAGTTAAAAGCATTAGAGATTAGCTTAAGAAAAGGACAGAAAGGAAAAGTCTGTACATTTATAAACGTGTTTGTATCACTTATAACATTTAAGAAGGTAGAAGTGGTTCTGCAGTTGAGACCAGGGGTCCAGTTACCTGTTTGCAGTCTCAGATCAGAAATATAAGCCTGAGAATGACTTTAACAGCTGATCTTGTCTAAAAGTATTCCACAAGTCTCAGGAAACTCTGGGATCAAGTTGAATCCCATAGCACCAGCTGTGCCATAGCCATGTCTCAGCTTGTTGTGATCTGCTTTTTTCACCGTTTGGGTCTTTCCCTGTTTTTCTGATCTCAGCTCCCTGATGCTGGAGGAGTGTGAGCTGTTCTTTTTTTGCCAATTCAAAAATACTTAAGTAGTTAATTTTCTTCAAATTATAGACATCATGCTGCTGTACCATTAGTAACTAAAATGTTGAGAAATGCCCTAATTGTCCCAAAATTCCATTTTGTGTGAAACTGAACCTGTGTTTTGCCCCCAGGAAAACAGAATGTGACATCCGCATGCGGCTGCCCTGGGTGTCCAACGAGCACTGCAAAATCGAGATCAATGAGAACAAGGAGGTCAGATGCTGCTGTTTCACTGAGCTGTGCATGGTCTGGCTGCATCTCAGCGGGTCACTCACGTTTTTGTTTGGTTTTTAGGCAGTCCTGACTAATTTGAGCTTGGTGAACCCCACGCAGCTGAACGGGGCTTGCTTTGAGCAGCCCGTTCCCCTGAAGCACGGAGATGTGTTAACCATTATTGATCGTTCTTTCAGGTGAGTGCCAGGGCCAAGCCCTTTAATTATTTGATTCCAGAGAGGAAATTAATGAAGTTTAGTTCATATTTCTCCACAAAGTCTTCCAGGGCCTCATCAGAAGGCAGCAGGATTGCTTAAAGTTATCTTTTTATCGCTTATGTTACATTAAGCTAAATCAATAAAGATAGAATTGTTTAGAGAGATCATGCTGATTTTGTTTCAAGAGCTGTCTATTTTAGGGGGAAATTTAGAATGATTTTAAGTTTCTAAAGCCTTTCAAATGGAGTTGTGTGTATTGTTGGGAGAGGACAACTATTCCTAGGTCATTCCTCTTAATAATCAGAATTGAGTCATCAATTATTTGACAAAAAATGGTATTTTAAAATATTTTTTCAGGTTTGAATATCCTCTGCAATCAACACCGAAAAAGAGGCATTCCAGGTCTCCAAAAGATGAAACTCTGCAGGTAATTTTATGGCTGTGGGTTTTTAATTTACAAATATATTGGTACTAGTGACATGTTTTTCCATTTCCTTGTTCTGTTTTCTTATTAAAAGAAACTATACTTTTCTTATTAAAAGTAACTTTTCAGCCCTAAATTGCCTTTCTGTCTGAAAATACAAACACTTTTAGATAAATGCTTTTTAAAACTCAGTTATTTTTAGTCTAAATTTTAGTAAAAAATTTGTCTCTTTTTGGTAATAGATAATTAATGATTAATTAATAGATAATTAATGATGTTACTAAGAGCCATAAATCTTCCACTGGGTTTGGTAAGAAGGTGAGGTGCAAGTGTTTTCTTTCTTGTTTTACAGCTGCTTTGACAGATTAGAATTTAAACAATACAACAAGATAAACTTCTCTTCTCTAGGGCCTCAAATGTATTGGCCAGTGTTAAATATTGAAAAGTTCAAGGATTTCATTTGAATACCTTAAAGCTTGTTTAGGGACAGTGCATATTCTCTTATAAATAGGGTTTTTTCAATGTAGAATTGAAAGCTGAAGTATAAAATGTTTGTTGCTCTGCTGTAATGTTGTACAAATTTACAGGTTCTTCATGTTCAGCAGGTGGCAGAAGTGGAATTACAACACAAACAAACTCCAGGAGCTAAAAATGTTGATGCTTCAGGTTGGTGCCTGTTTTATGAGGGCTTTGTGTGCTTTTGTCCCCTTAACTGCATTTATTATTGGCATTAGAATTATAGCAAAGTTAAAAGAAGAGGGAAAAGGCATTTTAGGACTTTCCAATCTGAGTATATCTTGCTGTGTCAGTGATTATCTCATCATGTTTGAGTGCTGTGAATTCAGCTTAGACATTAAAATTTAACCTGAACTGCTCTTCTGACAGCTACACCTTTTTTTTAGCAAACATTGCATTATCTCATGCATTCTTTCCTAATGAAAAATTGAAACAAGTATAAATTCAGAGGTACATGATATATATTGAAGTAATTGTTTACAGGATCTGTTTCCTGTAGAACCAGAACAATCCAGAACTGCTAATTCTGGGTAATTATAGCCCATAGACTGGTTAAATGCCAGGACTTCTCCTTCCCATCCTTCTGATTTTCAGGGAAGGCTCTTTGTTATCATTTCTGACTGATTTTTGTCCCCAGCTGCTTTCAAGTCTTCCTTTCAGTAGATCCTGGTTGACCAGGAAGAGCTTTGCTGACCAGGATCTTCCCTCTTGGGAGGGAAAATAATGAATTTTTAATCTGTATTTATGGAATTTTTATTTGTAGTCCTGCAATTTTGAAGTAACTCAGTGTCTGTATTTTTGTTTTGCTTTGCTTTCTTTGTAGATAATGCTGAGTGTGAAGAAAAAAATGCCAATGAAAATAAACAAACTCCAGAGGAAAATCTTCCTGAAGCTTTCCCTGTCAAACTCCAAACACCCAAATCTTCACAGAGAATTCATCGTGTTCTTCAAAAGCAAAATGAAATGTCTCCCTTTAGTAAACTCTATGAAAGTGTGAAAAATGAGCTGAAAGTGGAAAAACCTCTGCACAGGAGAAGTGCCTCTCAGCAAGCTGCAAAAGGAGACCCTGGCAGTGTTCTGCCAGAACCACGTGCTCCCATTTCATCCCTGAGTTGTCTTTTTGATCTGGGCAGCCTGGCTAAAGGAAAGGAAACGGGCAGGATGGAAAATATTGAAAAATGTATAATTGTGAGAAGAGAAGAAGAAAACAGCCCAGGGTTTAACCAGCTGTCAGCTGGGGGAAGGACTCCCAGGAGGAGTTTTACCAGGAGTCCTCGAGCTCCCATTTCAAAGGAGGTGTCAGGAGATACCAGTCAGAGTCCATTGCAGGATCCCAAGGAATTAGGGACACCAGGCAGATCCAGAGGTGCTGCAGTTACACCCACACCCAGCAGGAAGAACCACAGGAGCCCCTTGGTTTTGCTGGAGCAGTGCTCCATAGAAAGGTTTGAGTGTCCAGTTCAAGGGACAGTGTGCAGCCCCAGCAGCTGCAGTGTTCCTAAAGGAGGAACACCAACGCCCAGGAGGAAGAGTCCTCGGTCTCTTTTTGTGTCACCTCCCACAGAAACCACTGGAATGAATCCTGGAAATCCTGACACTCCAAGGACCCCTCGGCGTGGGTCGTTGAAACTGAAGTCGCTTCCAGAAATCCCAGTTGGAGCTCTAAGGGAAGATCCAGAGTGCAGAATTGATAACACACAACTGCCTTTGCCAGAAGACAAATGCTTAAAGCAAAGACGAAACAGCAAACAACAAACACCAGGAAAACCTGTCCAAGAGGTGCTGAAAGAAATATGGGATCAGGCAAACCTGGATAACTCAAAGGTGGGACATTGTGAAACCCCTGCCTCTCTCTCTAATTCTAAGAGTCCCAAGAGAAACAGCAGGGAAAGTAAAGAATTCTTGGACAAAAGTGCCCATTCAGAGGCACTGGCTACAGAAGGGGTGTTGGCATCTCCTGCTGGTCAGACACCTGGAAGGAAAAGGAGGAGGCCAAGGAGCTCTGGAGTGCTGGCTGAAACTGCCCTGGAGACAAGCACTGCTCAGGAACAGCACAAATCGGGCAGAAAAGCCAGTGGAACTCCAGCAGAGCTGGCCATGGACAGGTGTCCCCAAAACCAGGACTTGGAAGATGCCAGTGCTACAAGACCTCGGAGATCATCAGCCAAGAGAAGATCTGAAAGTGCTGCTGAGCTGAGAGACACTGAGCCTGCCTCAGAAACCACAAATTTTGGCCTCTTGAATGGAGAAGACTCAGGTAAATACAGGATTCCCTGCCTTGTTTTTTGTATTAGAGAAATTCTGTAGCACTTTCCTAAGAATTCTCCTACTCAGGTAAGATGTGGAACCAATTACTGACACTAATTGTAAAGTATTTATCATGGAGTTACATTTGACTTTAACAATACACAATACCTATAAAATATCCTGGATTTAATCTATTTCCTTTTAAGATAAGTTTCTCTGGGTTTGTTTCCAACTTTGAAATGCACAAGAAAAGGTTGAAATGCTGTATTGGATTCTTGGATATCTAAAAATTGTTCCAATTGTTCTTCCAGGCAAGACAAAAAGAACCTCTCAGAAGAGGAAAAGTGGTGAAATGCTCCCTCAGACATTGGGCAAAAGAAAGAGAGTGTCCTTTGGTGGTCATCTGAGTCCAGAACTCTTTGATAAAAGTTTGCCTCCCAACTCTCCCCTGAAAAGAGGAGCCCTCCCTGCCAGGAGGAGTTTGCCCTATGGAAACTCTCCTCGGGCTGTGCTCAAAAAGGCTCAGAGCTTGAAGCACTTGATCGATCAGGTAAATGTTGAGTAATCAAGTTTCTGAGTCCATTACTGTGATCAGAATTTATACATTTTATTATATATGTTTTTATTTTATTATTTATTAAATCAAAATTATTGGTAATCCTTGTGTGATGCATGCTGGTGTCACTCATGAGTGTTCGGGGATGCACAAAGAATCATCAGCAAAACCAGGTTTATTATAAAGTGAAAGTACAACCAAGTTCACTGGCAAGGTCACTGCTACTTACTGGATGGGTAAAACACACAAGGAAAAATCAGGCTCAAAATTTAAAATCAATCAATCTGAAAATGTAATTAACATAAAATGATTTAATTGGTGGCTGGGGATGAATGAAGGGTAAGGATGGGAAGGTGTGATGATCAAAAGGTAAACCCTCCAGCCAAACTTAGCCCAGACTTGATTGACAGTTTAGGAATCATTCCTGCATCATTCCTGAAAAAGTGAAGTCCAAGTCTCAGGCAGGGTTTGCCTGGACAGATGACTTCATTAAAAAAAAGGAAAAATCCTCCATTCACCAATATGTATTTTTTTTTTTTACCAGGAAGAAAAAACATCACCCAAAAATTCCCCAACCCGGCAGCCCCCAGGTGCCTCCTCCCCTGTCTCAACACCCAAAATCCCTTCAGGCTCTCCAGCCCCCTTCAGGAAAGGGCGTTTCTCCATCTCCCAGCCCCCCACACCTTTCCCCATTGCAGAGGAGAAGGATGCTGGCACAGAGGACATGGACCCAGAGGGGAAGAGTGGTGTCCAAGGGAACACCCCAAAATCTGCTCCTGCTGCCCAAGGTGCCAAAGCCTTGGTGACAAGGACAGCTGCCAAGTCAGCCAGAGGTGCCCCGCTGGCTTTGAAGGGCTCTGCCATGAAGAGCAGAGGTGGGCCTGTGGCTGTTATCAGTGCCAAGAGGAGAAGTGGTGCCTCCAGTGCCAACTTACTAGGTTGGTTTCAACAGTTAATTTTTATTACTTATGCTTAATTTTAATACTTCATTAATTTTTAATACTTTCATGCTTTAAAATACAGGAACCACACTGAAAAAGGCTTGTTATGCAGAGGCCACCAAATAATTGATGACTCTTCTGAAATCTGCTGGCCTTATTGGAAGTGCAAAGTGTTGCATTTTTTCATTCATAAAGCAAATTTATTAAAGCATCTATAAACTTAATTAAAGGCAAATATTAATGTTCAGAAGTTTAAAAATGGTAAAGTTAACATTCTCTTTGCAAGGTTAGAGTCATGATCTTTAAAATCTGTCAAGTTATGTTGACCTATACCATATTTATCACATCAGTTTGGTTTTGAAAAACTTAACATTTTATAGCAATGCAGCTTCACTTTGCTTATTTTGTGCCTTCTTTTTATACCAGGCTAACAAACTTTGTCCAGAAACTGGGCTGTATTTAACTACTCAAAGTAGTACATAACTGACAGAATAAAAAATAGGATCATAGCTGGGTGTTTCAAATCTTCAACATTTTCAGTGTTGAGCACTGATTTGAAATAGTTTTGACAGCACTGGAAAGTGTAATAGGGGAGTTCCGGTTTTTCAGGTTTTGGCTTTTGAATAAACTTTGAAGCAGGGTGTATTTGTCACCTGTTGTCATCAGTTAAATCAGTTTGACAAAGTCAAATTCCCCATTCACTCAGGAATTTTTATTACTTTATTATTCTGTCCATTTTAATGGCAGCAGGGCTCTTGACAAATATCAGTGGTATTCCATTTCTCACCACCTCTTTGTAATGTACTTTTTAATATCACTGCATCAATTCCTTCTGTAGTATGGAAAGAATATCACAGCTCTTAAAAATTTCAGATAGAAAGTAAAACTGTTTCCAGTGCTTTTTCAGATAATTTCCTGGATGCTTGGCATTTTTCTCTGCGTCCTGCACACCCTGGCAATGTCAGCTTTTCAAAGTTCTTTTTATTTACAGACTGACATAGCAATTCTGACAAGAGAATAACAACCTTTTCTTGGATGGAAAAGGAACAGCATTCCCCTTTTTATCTCTGTTTTAAGAAGTCATTTCTTTTATATGATCCCTGTGTTCAGATAGCTTTTTTCCTGAAGTAAACAAGGCAGGTGTCCTACAACTTCCAGTTTCATTTACCCCACAGCTGTAATTCCCTGCTCCCACTGCTGTGTACAGAATGATGCTGTGCTGAAGGTAACCTTGCTTTGGGAATTTTGGCAGTGTGTCACAAGGAGAAGGTGATACAAGAAAAATTATGGGAAGTCTGTGTAGATCTAAATTCAGGATAAATAACTGAGATTCCTCAGGAAGGTGGTGTAAGAAACTTCACTTAGAAACAATTTATCTTCTCTTGTTAAATCTCACCAGAGTAAAATTCATCTATAATGAACGAGGCTGAAAGGCTCATGGCAAATTTCTGTTGGGAAAAACGAGTTCCTTCCAAAAGAGAGAGGAAGGAATTGGGTCAGTGTTCAGTTGTAGGATCTGAGCTGTGTCTGACACTGTGAAGCTCGTTGTTTTGGTGTGGAAAGCCACACTGGGTACTTGGAGTCTTCTCAAACTTCAGCCAAAATGATGTTTTCAAACTGAGAATATTTCAGAGACTACTTCGGGTGTTATCAGATAATAACAACCACTTTCCTCTGCCAGACTGCAGAAAATATATTGGAATCATAAAGAAATAATTGTGAACTTCCATTTACACAGCTGAGAGTTAAAGTGGTTCTTTCTTATTTTCTTCTAGTTGCAAAATCTTGGGCAGAAGTGGTAAAATTGGGGGTTGCAAGACCACAGACAAAGACTGCTAAAAAAAGTGCCCGTAAAGGAAGAGCCCTGAAGAGGATAAACCACCCACCAAAGGTATCCTTTTCTTTTTTTTTGTTTCTTTTATTTTCTTGCATAACCACCAAGCAACTTGGGTGGATTTTGGTCGAGAAGCTGAGCTCTTGGTGTGATGTAAAATGGGAGTTTTTGTCTCCCACAGCATGTGGGAAATGGAGATTTCTACAAAAAGAATCACAGAATTTTTAAGGTTGGAAAAGACCTCCAAGATCTTGGAATCCAACCTCTGATCCTAAAAATCAGGCAGGACCTGCCTTTCCTAAACTCAGGCTGGCCAGAGCTTCCGACACTCGCTGGCACTGGACATCCTCCAGCCTTGGAGCCTCCCAGTTAACCATGACTGATGATAAATTATGGAAGGAGCTTGGCCGCCTCTTCCACCATGAATCTTTGTTTTATTTTGTTTTTTCCTCTGCAGACTCCAGAGAAGAAAATAAAAGGTCACTTCAGCACAGGTCATGCAGAGTCACCCGCTACCATAGTTGTAGGTAGAGCTTATTCCACCACAGTTGGATCAGCTGGACACGTCCCTAAAGTGGTAAAAAATCCCAAGCTGAAGCTAAACATGGATATGGATGAAAGTTTCACAGGTGAGATTTCAAAGTCTGTTGCTTCATCTGCCCATTGTGCAGTTCTTTTGTCAAAACACCGGCTCATTTCCCCAAATATCATTTCTAGGAGTGCCTGAAATGTTCCAAACTCCAGAAAATCAGGGAGGAAGAACATTTCCTTTGGCTGCTGCTCAGAATGCTGATGTTACACCACCATGGGCTGCAGGGGACATTTCTGACTTGCACACTCCTGAGGAATCTGGTAGGTTTGGTATTTAAAAAAAGAATATTTATGTATATATTTTGGATTAGCAGCAGTCTCAGCATAGGCAGACTTAACTGAGTTGAAGCATCTGGCAACCCATTAAAGGAACCATTGAGATTTATCAGGTATTAAAAGAAAATGTAGTTCTAGTTAATTTCTAAGTAGAAACTTTATGATTTATTCTGTTTGGTATGGAACTTCAAGCTGCTGGTGAGTTGTTTCAGACACTGAATGCTCGATGCACATGTTTGGATTTTGATTTCTAGAAGGGTATGTTTGAATTAGAATTTTTTTTTTATTATGCAGCAATTAAAATGCTTGAATTTTCTGCTTGATTTATTTTCTAAATAACATAAGTCTACTGCTTATTTCAGGAGAGATGATGGTGTCACCATTAAATAATTCAGATGCTTCAGAGCAGAAGCAAGCAAGTCCAGGCATATTCCACCTCCTGAGAGAGGAATCATCTCCATCTATGTTTGATGAAATAGCCACAAAAACTCCTGAAAACAGAAAAGCTGTGCACAAAGATACTGTGGGTAGTTTGGTAATAATTTCAGAAAAACCAGTATCTCTTGTGAAATCAGGAAGTAAAAAGAGGACTCCAAAGCACAAATTGGAGTCAGTTGAGGTCATGTCAAGCAAAAGGAAGATTTTAAGGACCCCTGAGCAAAGATCAGAACCAGGAGAGGTTTTGTCAGGTATCAAGAGACTTGTGAAGACTTCGAGGCAGGAGCCAGAGCCTACAGAGGTTCTCTCAGGCATCAAACAGCTCATGAAGACCCCAAAGCAGAAATTGGAGCCTGTGGAGGTTCTGTCAAGCAAAAGGAAGATTTTAAGGACCCCTCAGCAAAGATCAGAACCAGGAGAGGTTCTGTCAGGCATCAAACAGCTCATGAAGACCCCAAAGCAGAAGTTGGAGCCTGTAGAGGTTCTCTCAGGCATCAAACAACTCATGAAGACCCCAAAGCAGAAGTTGGAGCCTGTGGAGGTTCTCTCAGGCATCAAACAGCTCATGAAGACCCCAAAGCAGAAGTTGGAGCCTGTGGAGGTTCTCTCAGGCATCAAACAGCTCATGAAGACCCCAAATCAGAAATTGGAGCCTGCAGAGGTTCTCTCAGGCATCAAACAGCTCATGAAGACCCCAAATCAGAAATTGGAGCTTGTAGAGGTTCTGTCAGGCATCAAAGAGCTCCTGAGGACCCCAGAGCAGAAATTGGAGCCTGTGGAGGTTCTGTCAAGCAAAAGGAAGATTTTAAGGACCCCTCAGCAAAAATCAGAACCAGGAGAGGTTTTGTCAGGTATCAAGAGACTAGTGAAGACTTCGAGGCAGAAGCCAGAGCCTACAGAGGTTCTCTCAGGCATCAAAGAGCTCCTGAGGACCCCAGAGCAGAAGTTGGAGCCTGACGAAGTTCTCTCAGGCATCAAACAGCTCATGAAGACCCCAAAGCAGAAATTGGAGCCTGTAGAGGTTCTCTCAGGCATCAAACAGCTCCTGAAGACCCCAAAGCAGAAATTGGAGCCTGTGGAGGTTCTCTCAGGCATCAAACAGCTCATGAAGACCCCAAAGCAGAAATTGGAGCCTGTGGAGGTTCTCTCAGGCATCAAACAGCTCCTGAAGACCCCAAAGCAGAAATTGGAGCCTGTGGAGGTTTTGTCAGGCATCAAACAGCTCATGAGGACCCCACGGCGGAAGGCAGGGTCAGTGGAGGACCTGTCAGGCATTAAGCAGCTCCTGAGGACCCCGCAGCAAGAGCTGGAACCACTGACAGATGAAATTGCCTTGAAAAGACTGCTGGAGACTCCAGTAGAGAGCAGGGAAGCAGTAAAAGCTGTGCCAGGTGTGACTTCAACCAAGAAAACCCCAAAGCTCAAACCCCAGCCCGTGGAAGACATGGTTGGGATCCGCCGCATTTTCCAGACGCCAAAGGAAAAGGTGGAGCCCGTAGAAAACATGTTTGGAATTAGCAGATTAGTGAGGTCTCCTAAAGAGAAATACCAACCAGTTGAGGATTTTGTGGGGCTGCAAAGGCTCATGGCAGAACCCAGGCAGAAATCTTCTGATTCTGAGGTGGACTATGCTGGAATGACTGAAATGTTTGGCACCCCAGAGGAAATGAAGGTAAAATACTTCAGCTTTTGGAAAGGATGTTTTTAGACTTTGAAATCTGTGACTGAAATTAATTTGGTATGACACTTTGTATCTTGCAACATTTTTTAGGGACAGCTGCATTTGTGTGTATTAAAATGTGTTTATTTGAAAGGACCTATCACAAATGAGTGTTTTAAGGTTATTTAAGTATCATTAAAAACAGGTTTAATATAAAAGGGATAAGCTTAATATTAAAGTGACATTCCCAGCATCTCATTCACCTTTCAACACTGACCATTACAGTTAGGAGAAGTGCAGTTCTCCAGTCAGCTTGGTGATGTCTGTGTCCAGCCTGGTTTATTCTGGTGCTGCTTTTTATTGTGAGAAAAACCTTGATCTTCAGTGGAGATGTGTTGGCAATCACTTTCTGAAAAAATTATTGTGATTCTCATATTCCTTAAATAAAATTCTGAATATCCCTGGGTTTAGTGCTTAAAACTACAATAAAGCACTACAGAACATTCAATTTCTCTTCAATACCCCAAATTTCGCTTTGAACACTCATTTAGGCACCTCTCAACCTCTCCAAAGTGTTGTCTTTCACTTTAGATGGCAAGAATTGAATTTGCTATGTTTGTGGGTTTATATCAGATAAATTAATGCATTTATAAGACTAATTGATTTAATTTGTAAAGAAAAGGGTTTGACAGGCATTTTTATAAATATTGTTGTACATTCAAGTGATATTGGTTGGCTCCATAAGTTCTTGTCTGTCTGACATGCATTTATTGGTTACTTTTTATTCCTTTAGGTCAGATCAGTAAATGTTATGGATTCTCAGGGAGAAATTGGTTCTAATTCCAGTCATAAACATGGTAAGCACAAATATTTTGTTCAGAGGAATAATGAATATATAAAATCATAAATGTTACCATGAAGTTCAAATCCTTGTTTAAACCTCTCTCAGTGAGCCCAGCTATTTCCTGAGCTAAGATCATTTTTACCCTTTGACCTATTCAAATGAATTAAACAACTTCAGTCAGAAGCCTGGCCTTTAATCTGGGAATTGGTTGAATATTTCTTTATTTACTCCATGATTTGTTTGAGCAAGATGCCTTTGTGAGGAAAATGGAAATACACTGATACTTTGATCAGGCACAGGAATGTCTAATTTTTGTTTGTGCTCTTTATCCTGTTCTAGAAAAGAGAGGAAAATTTTCCCAAGATGAAGATTCTCAACAGAAGGACTCGACTGGTGAAGAGCAGCCTACCCAGAGACTCAGAAGGGGCAGATCCAGGAGGGCTCTACCTCCTGTTGCAGCAAAGCCAAGTGAAAATGGTGTGAGTTTTAAGGAGTTACAGAGTCCTGACACCCAAGAGGAGATGGGAGTGATCACACCTGAAAACAAGGGAAGAGGAAGGAGGACAAAGCATTGCACACAAGAAGTTGTTCCAAAGTACCCTGATCAGGAAGGGCTTGACGTTGTTTCATCTGTGGAACCACCTGGAGCTGCTCAGAGACCAGGGAGAGGTAAAAGGAAAGAGCTGAAGGAGTTAAAACATCCAAATGAAAATCTGGAGTCTTGTGTTGAAGATTCCTCAGGGCTACGAAAAGCACCTGCAAATACCAAACAGAGTTTGCAGGACTGTGGCATCAGTGAAACTGAGGATGATCCAGGTACAAAGACAGGACCTGGAAACATTCAGAGTGAAATTTGTCGGCTGCAAACAGATTTAAATGATCCTGATAGCAAAGCTATTGACAGTGGGATAGAGGACACTGAAGAAGAAGTGTTCCTGTCACTGAGGAGGAGGCGCAGAGGAGTGGAGAACACAGAACCAGTGATTCCACCAAAAAGGAGACGAGCAAGGGATGACCAAGGTAAAGCAGCCTCTCCAGGAGGCCTTCATGGAACAACCAGAAAGCTTCGTAAAGACCCATCCCCAAAGGTTTCACAAAGACAGGAACAGGCTTGTGACAAAGCTCCTGGGGCTGTCACAGCACAAGAATCTGAAAATGGCACTAAACTTGAACTAAAGGCAACAGAGACAAGAGTTAAGTCTTTTAGAAGCACTAGAAACAGAAAGCACTCAGCTGAAATAAAAGCTGACACTCGTGGGGTCACACTTGAAAATCCACAAAACATTCAGAAAACTGAGGAAACATCAACTGAAACTGATGCTGAAACAGAATCTCACGTGAAAAATGGGATTAAAGGATCTCAGGGATCAGAAACAGAAAATACTCAGGAAAATACAACACAAGCAGCTCGAAGATTAAAGGCAGAGTCACCTTCTGCAGAGACAAACAAAATGCCAGTCAGTGCTCAGAACTTGGAAGCAAGCAGGGCTAGAAACAGGAGAGGCAAAAAAGACTCTTTGGAGCAGAAAGCTGATGAATTTACTGAAAATGTGAACAGCCTAAAACCAATTACTCCCAAATTTAAATCAGAAACAGAAGTGGATGAATCTTCTCTCCAGGATTCCGTGGGCTCTGTTAGTGTCAGTGCAGCCCAAGGCAGGAAGGAGCAGCCCAGCCCAGGTGCCACATCAGTCCCTGCTGCAGACAGTGCCAGGCCCGCTCGGGGCACTCAAAGGAGGACGAGGAATGAACGGGGAATATTTAAAGCAAAGCAAACTGAAATCCTGCAGGGGAGTCCAGCACAAAGAAATGCAGTGATGTGTAGAAGAGGAACAGGTAAAAAAGTTAATTTTCAGCTTGAAGAAGGCAGTTCCAAAGCAGTTGAAGGAAAAATTTTACCTGAGGGTGATGAAGGGGTGACTGACAAAGATAATCAACATGAGAATTCCGAAAATGCTCCTTCAAAGGGAAGGAGGAGCAGGAGAAAGCAACTTGACTCCATCCCACAAAAAGCTAGTCCTGCCTTCATGGAAAAACAAGCATTAAGTGCAGATCACAGGAAAGATGAGGCTGTTGTACGAGAGCCAGGATCAGCTTTGGAGGCTGCTCCCTCTTCAGCAGAGGACAACCCACTGAGGCGGGGGAGGAGACGTGAGGTGGCTGCAGCATCACAGACCAGATCTCCTTCTGTCAGAACGAGACGTGGGCTGCTGCAAGGTGATGCTAAAAAGATGGCAGAGAGAGAAGAGGAAAATGCAGCTCTGCCTAATAAAACTTTACAGGCAAAAGTGGATGCACCAGCAAGGGACAGAAGGAACAAGATGGATCCGGCAGCAGAGGCAAGAAGTTCAGCTCCTCTGCAGAGAAAATGTGGCTTGTCAGAGACTAAAGATAAGGGTACTGATGAAGAACAAAATGTGCCTTTGGAAGCAGTGTCCTGTGCAAAGGAGAAGCCACCAGGAAGGGGCAGAAGGAAAGAAACTGCTCTGGCATCACACACAACCAATTCCATCTCTCTTCGAGGGAAACGCAGGCTGCCAGCAGGTGATGGAGAAGAAGCTCCCAAAGAACAGCAGAGTGTTCTCTTAGAAACTTGTGATCCATCTGGAAAAGAAAATCAACTGAGAAGAGGCAGGAGGAAGGAAATTGCCCCTTTGGTAGAAGCCAAAAGTTCTATTCAGGGAAACCAGGTCCTGTCCAAACAAAGTGGTAGAAAAAATAACAGTAAGGAAGCTAAAGAGAATTTGGACAATTCTTCTCAAGAAAATATGGTGCTTGTAAAACGGAGTTCAAGGCAAGCAACCACTTCACTGGCTGTTAGTCCCACCTCACTTCAGGGTTTGCCAGAAGATGGTAAAGACAGAATTCCTGAAGAACAAAGTAAACTTTTGGACCTAGCTCCACCTGCAAAAGAAAATCCATCAAGAAGGGGCAGGAAGAAAACAGCTTCTTCCACTTCTGAAGAAACAAGTTCCACTTCTCTCAGGGGAAATCCCAACCTGCCCGGAGGCAGAGGTCAGAAGAGGATTCTTAAAGGAAGTGAAGATGCATCTCCAGAAAATAATCCATGCCAGGGAAGAACAAGGCAGTTGAGAAATAATAGGAGGAAGGTGGAAGTCCCGTTGGAGGCAGCTACTTCTGCTCCCCATAAAAGCAGTGTCTTGGCAGAAAATGGCAACACTCTGGGAACTCAGGGTTTGAGTGGAGCATCCCCTGGTTCTGAAGAGAATCAGTCTGGAAAAGGCCAGGAGGGTGACCCTGCTCCACAGGCAGCCCCCACCTCTCGCAGAAGGAAGTGCCAGCTGCCAGCAGAGGACGTGGCACCCAAAAAATTCAAATCAGGTGAGGCAGTCTTGACTTTCTCTTCTCTAAGGCTGGCTGAGTTTGTGTAGATCCAACAATGGTGTGCAGAGCTCTGGGGGCTGCTGATGTAGATCACAGAATCATGGGATCATTTAGGTTGGAAAAGATCCAAGATCCCAGCTCCCTCAGCTGCTCCTGGGGCTCCATTCCCTTCCCTGGTCACACTCCAGCCCCTCCACGTCCCTCCTGGGCTGAGGGACCCAAACTGGGCATGGCACTGGAGGTGCCTCCCCAGTGCAGGGGACAGCCACTGCCCCGGTCCTGCTGCCACCTCAGATATTCCCTGGAATTTTCAGCTTGACTTAAAAACCCCCAATTAGAAAATACTATCAAATGAATGCCATGAAGTAGGAGTGACAGCAAGGACCTGCCTGCCATAAAACCTCCTCTGTTTTCAGTTTTGCAGGACTTTGGTGTTGGTCCTGTTTTAGTTTTACATGTCACTGGAAGGAATTTTAGCTACAATGGCGGCTAATTGGTTTTGGTGCTCTCATTAATGTTAACCTACTTTCAGAAATAGCTGTAAATCCTCAGGGATCCAACTTAAAGGATATTGGATGTGCACAAGTGTGGGGTTGGTATCTGGTTTGTTGAATTCAGAGATGTAATCTTTGGAATGTTGTCATTGGGGACATTTCCTTTCAAAACAATGTAGGTGAAGATGGAATTTTGTGGGAAATGTTTGATTGATGATACAAATCGACATTTTTCTATGTGCAAATAGGGAATGATGAAAATGGGTCTCTCCAAAGAGGAAGAAGAAACAAAACTAAACTTGGAGAAGAGGATGCAAGGGCAGCTCAGACCACTGGAGGGATGGAGAAGAGGACAAGATCCAGCACAAGAACAAGGAAATAGCCTTAAGAGTCCCAGAAGCAGTTTTAAAATCAATTCAGTAATTCCAATTAGAGGATTTTTTAAACGTGAATTGATTTGCACTCTGATTTTAAGCTCAGATTTTTGGCAATTCTATGGTTGCTTTAAAAAAAATTATTTCTTAATGTGTCTACAGATAAAAGGTTGATATTTCTTGAGTAGCTTTGCCAACATGTGGTAGTTTCTAAACCATGGAGAGCTTGTGCAAAGCTGTAAACATAAATTACATTTTGTTTTACCAGTGTTTCTCCCCTTTTTCCTGTTGATCAGTACAACAATCAGGAAGCCATATTACTACCAGCTAAAGCTATTTTCTGCTGAAATTTTTTATGCTTAAATTTTATTTTTCATTGGAGTTCTGTAAATATTTTTTTTTAAAAAATATAGTTGTATTAGCAGAAATATTGGACTAAATTTTTAATAAGTTTTTTTTAGGAAAGAATAAATTTGAATTGAAAAATGCAGGTTTTGAAGTCATTAAACTTGGAAACAATTTGGGACTCGTGTGGTTTTTTTGGTTTTAAGAATGCTTAAGCATATAATTGCTGCTCTCTTACAAGTTCATTTCTGAGGTTCATCCTCTGGTTGATGTGGTTTGCAGACAGAATTTTTAGGACCTTTTACAGCTAATTTGTCTTCAAGGCTGGGGGCTTCTTAAATGCAGAAACTGAGAAAATTCAGCCTGGGCATCAAACTTGTGTGCAGTTTTTAGACCTGACTTAAAATCCTTTGTTTATGTGGTGTGTGAGGAGTTGGGGATGTTTCTGCAGCAGAATATTTGGAATTGGAATTGTTCAGGTTGGAAAAGATCCCTAAACTCCAAAGCTCAGATCTGATATAACATTATGCTTTTCTTTTTTTAATTTAGATAGGCTTTTTTGCTTGTTGTTTTTTATCATGTGGAATGTGCTCTACCCATACCCACAGAAGGTTCTTATTGAATTATAATACACTTTTTTTAAATTTACTTAATTCTAGTGTGAAAAATCCAGTCTGTCCATACATCCAGGGTTGCTCCATCCCAGCTGCAGAATCTGGTACTTTCCTTTGAACTTCTCATGGTTAAATATGAGAAGTGGAATATACTGTGGTGGGGGTCTTTTTGGGGTTTTTTTGTGGTTTGTTTTTTTTTTTTTTTTTTTTTTTTAACTCTGTTTCCCAATCATGACAATCCTAAAACTTTAGCCCTGAAATCTCAGAGGAAAGCAAAATTTTACCATCTCCTCTAAAATCAAAACTGTCTCTTCTGTGTAATCAATGCCAGTGCCATGGTTGGGAAATACAGGGATCCACAGGAATATTTTTCTGGTTCTAAGAAGTTTGGGGTTTTTTTCCTCCAGTCTTTCTGATCTGTCACTTTTGGGTTTGGTCCTAGTTCAAATCTAACAAAAGCTCAGCTCAGATGAAGTGCCACAATTCCAGAGGTGGGGTTTCTCCCCGGGATGAAATCTGTGGATAAACTAAACTTGAGGAACATCTCCTGAAGTAAATATTCCTTCTATAGTACTCAAAAATCAGGAATTGTCTCCTCCTGCCATTGCCACTTTCCCAGGTGCCTCACTGAGACTGAGCAGGAATCCTGGCCAGTCTCCTCCGAGGTGGGCAGTGTCCCTAAGGAATGTGTCCCACTGCTTTTTTAGGAATTTTGCTTTTGTAGGAATTGGAGACCTCTCCAAAGTCAGATCCCAGTTTTTGTGCTGCCAGGAGCACACACGTCCTGTGGAGACCTCTGCAAGTCCAGAAGTATTTGGTGAAGAGATGGACAAGGTAGGATGGGAATTCCCAAAGTTCATTTGTGGAAGTCCTTCAGAAAGGGATGTTGTTGTTGTGCCATTTTTGGGAGTGTTCTACAGCCAGCCAGGGAAAACAGCAGCTTAAGGTTCATGACTGATGCATTTTATTGTACATAAACCTGGCTTTGGTTGTGGGGACACTGCAGCCACCCAGGGCAGGGCTTGCTCACTGTCCAGGACGTTTCCAGAGGGGATTTACTCTGTGCTCTTTTCTAGAACTGATATTTAACATTAATTTCTGTTGATCCTTGATTCCTGATTGAATTCCCGATTATAAATTTGATAAAGATGTATTTTATTTTATAGGCAGCTCCAGTTCCACTCAGAAAATTTGAAACTGCAAATCTACCTCAATGCATATAATTCTGAGAGAGAGCTGAGATATCTTTTACCTGAGGGGTCAGCCAAAGAAACAAATCTCTTTCCTCAAGGAGAATTTCCAAATTATCTTTGTATTTTCTGTAAGGCTACATCTTCATTGTTGGTTGTGTGGCAGCACAAATTTAAAAAAAAAAAGGAAATGGTAGGAAAATTTCATTGCAAATGTTCTTCATTGTCAGTCTTTTTGATTTTTAATCTGGGCAGATGATTTTAAGGAAAGAAGGAAAGGAATGGGACATGAATAAAATCAGGAAGCAGAGATTTCTCTTAGTTATCCCTGATTGTTGCTTGCATTTGCAAGTTGCTGGGTATAGATATATCTATTTCTTTTTATGTCTGTGAATTGATTTAAAGCTAATTTCTCCAGTGATTTTGAAGGAATAGTATAGAATAAGTATTTTAAATTTTGTGTAAATATAGCAAGCTGCCTGTTGATATTTAATTTCAGCCTCATTTATGTAAAAACCTCTCCAAAACCATTGAGTCCAAGGCCACCACTGTCCCATGTCCCCATATGCCACATCCTCATGGCTTTTAAATCCCTGCAAAGTATTTATTATTTAAGCAGGAGCATTATTTTTCCAGAGGTGTAGGTTTGAACCTCCTTTTCCTCCTTTTGATGGCACTGTCACTGCTGTGCTGTCAATTGTCACCGTTCCCTGTGGGGACCTCCATCTATCCTCTAAATTTCATCTCCACACTTATTAAAAATAGATGGACTTTCTGCTTCCACTACATAAATAAGGTTGAAAAATCAACTTGATTGTCACAGAGAGTTTCAAAACCTTCAAAACTTCCTGACAACAAAACTGGATTTTAATATTTCAGCCCTGCCTTGCCATCAATGCCACAGCCCTGCCTGTTCCTGACAGTCTCTTTCATATCCAATTTCCTTCCAGACTTCCTGCCTTGAAAGAATTCCTTTTCAGCAAGACAAGCTGCTTAATTACATGAAATATGGAAAGAAAACTCGCATTGGTTTGAATTTTACACCTTTTAATTTGTCTCTTTCCATGGCATTCCTCCCCTGCCTTGACCCAGAGGTGTGATGCTATTTTGGGAGAGTGGTTGTTAACCTTGGAGCCCAGCTGTAAACACCCCCAGAATTTTGGGAAATTCTGTAATTTCCCAAAGGCTGGGCTCTGATGGAGGCAATTCTCAGAGATTAACAGAGAGCAGGTAATTGATGATCTTTGAGGACATTGTCTCCATAGATTCCCACTCCAACTTCCTTCCCTGTTCCTTTAGAATATAATGTATGGCTGCTACTCAGAGGAGGTCACAAAAAAAAAAAAAAAAATCCTGGATACAGATGGGAACTCCCACCCTTTTAAAAAAAAATTCCATGTGAGGTCCCCTGCCACTCCAGAAGTTGTAATTAGTGAATATTCTGAGGTTTGCAAACAGAGGCTGGAATTCGTGGATAAACTAAACTCAAGGAACATTTCCTGGAGTGAATTTTCCTTCTGTAGTACTAAAATGAAATGAAAGCCCACCTGGAAATTGAATATCGGGAGTGTGAGGAACTTTTGATGGTGCTCAGGGCAGATATTTTTATCTTTACTTTTATTTTTATGGCTCTATGAGTGGCAGGTAGGTCAGGACTTTTCAGCCTATGACAAGCAATGGACATTAACACTAAAAATTGGGAAAAATCAGTGTATTTGAAAGCTAAAAACCCACTCCTGTTCTATCTTCAGCATTATAAATTTCCCTTTTTTATTTAATGAATTTAAGCAAATTCTCCAGATTAATTTTTTCTCCAGCAGGGCTTTTAAATTTCAGTAGAATGCAGGATTGTGCATGGCTAAAATCCACCCTTGTAATCCCAAAGTTTGATAACCATAACTTTTATAGGACACATGGCAGAAAGAGTAAAACTTTCTGTTGTATTTCACTGAAAATATCAGTGTTTTTAACACTACTTGTAGTGCTGCTATTAGAATTATCTGAATAAATTAGAATTATCTGAATACTACATTTTAGAATTTATTTTATTAAGATACAAAAATCTCCCCAGAAAGTTCCTTGTGGCTTGTTTTCCCTTCTAAAATAGGATGGACATTTAAAACAAAACCTGTGTGAGAGGAGTTTCATTCCTCAGTGTTCAGTTAGGAATTTAAAAAATCCTATTTTGACTTCAGCAGTTTAAAATCTGCTGATGCAAATCCTTCAACACAAATTTCCCAGCTCCAGGAGAGATCTGGACAAAGTGAATTGCAGCACTTTGAAATTGGAGTTTAATCCAGTTTAACTCAAGTTTAACTCAAGTTTCAACCTGGACAGACACAATAATTTGTTTTTGCTGTTCTGGTGGGACATGAAACTTCTTAACAATCAATTGCAGCTCTTTTATTAAACAAAAAAACTTATGATTTCCAGAAAAATGCCATTTTTTGCTATTTGTGGTAGGAGATCAAAGGACTGCACAGCTTTGCAGCCATCTGAAATGTAAAAGTATATTTCTAAATTTCTCAATTCTAAGTAAAAGTTTATTTCAAAAATGAATTTAATGTTAATATTTAGCTTGTTAATATAAATATTATAAATATGAAATTATTGCAGAATCTTTAGATTTAATATAAAGCTTTTAAATTTTTTTAATATAATTTCCTTCAGTGAGAGCATCACATTTTCTAGGACACGATGGAATGAAAATTGGGATTTTGTGCAATTTAGAGTTTTCCAGGCTGCTTGGTGGAAGAATGTGAGGAAATCTTAGTGGCTCCTGTGTGGCACAGGAATGAAGTCCTGATTTTCCCCTCTGCTCCTTCCAGAGGGAGCTGCATCTCTGTCTGATGCTCTCACTTTGGCAGCTCTGGAGGTATTTTAAATTGCAGTGTTTGTGAATACCAGGGAAAGTTGCAGCTTCCACTGCCCTCAAGAAGGTCAAACAGATTTTTCTAAAAATCAGCTAATTAGAGCTGTAAATTAGATTAGACCAGACTCTTCTCAACCACCTACGAGCGTTTATCCTGTAAATCTCCCAAGAACTCACTGCCATAAATCCTTGTTTTTCTTTGAGGGGAGATATCCCACCAGCTGACCACAACTGTGCTGGTGAACTTTGTAATTAATATCTTGCATGTGTTCCTAAAACTCCCAATGACCTATTTTTAAATAATGGGAAATGAGAAACCCCTCTAGGAGGGTCAGGCAGATCAGAAATCATCCATGAGGCAAGCGAAGGGCCAAATCCATTTTAATTGAACCCACTGAGAGCATCTCCTCAAAGCCTGAAACTGAGTTTAAAACCAAAGCTGAGACTTTTACGTGCCTGACCAGATGAAAACCCACCAGCTTTTTTATTTTGAAGTCGAA